TTATATTGTCCACACAGTTGCTTAATTGTGAAGTGGAAAGCATGGAGCAAGAGATTATGTGAGCTGATGCCATGAATTTCACATATGACATTCATTTCTCTTCTTCTCTAAGGAGCTTTTGCTGCCCCCTGCTGATTTACCAGTCAGGGAAAATGTACAGGTGCATCTCAATAAATTAGAATGTCGTGGAAAAGTTCATTTATTTCAGTAATTCAACTCAAATTGTGAAACTCGTGTATTAATAGTGGTACAACAGCTTGTCAGTGGGGAAGCAACACTCATTCAGAGATATACCTGCTGTACCTTTAGTGCACCTTAAAGGTTCACCCCAAAATGAAATTTGCTCAAAATTCCAGACCATCCAAGATGTAGATGAGTTTGTTTCTTTCTCAGAACAGATTTGGAGAAATGAAGCATTACATCATTTGCTCACCAATGGATCCTCTGCAGTGAATGGGTGCCGTCAGAATGAGAGTCCAAACAGCTGATAAAAACATCACAATAATCCACAAATAATTCACATGACTCCAGTCCATCAATTAATGTTCTGTGAAAAGCTGTGTTTGTAAGAAACCCGGTTAAAAAAAACAGCATATGCTGGTTAGGTATGTTTTGAAGCATGGCATCTGGTTTAAGCTAGTTTAAGCTGGTCCTTAGTTGGTCATGAGCTAGTTTAAGCTGGTCCTGAGCTGTTTATAAGCTGGTTATGAGCTGGTCCTAAACCACTAGCTCCTGCTCAGGACCAGCTCATAACCAGTTTATAACCAGTTTAGGACCAACAAAGGACCAGCTTAAACCAGCTCAAACCAGCTGCCATGATTCAAGACATACCTAACCAGCATATGCTGTTTTTTTTTCAACAGAGAAATCTATCATTAAAGTGTTTTAACTTTAAACCGACACTTCTGGCCAAAATAGAGTCCATAATCCATAATAATGCTTTCTCCAGTGAAAAAGTATGTCTACTGTTGTGCTCTCACATCAAAATCCACGGATATAATTGCTTATAACTGTTTCACTTGATCTGTGCATATTTCTCTCCTGATTCAGACAAGACTTTTTTAAAGGGTTAGTTCAACCAAAAATGAAAATTAGCCCATAAATTACTCACCAACAAGTCATCCTAGGTGTATATGACTCGCCTTTGTTCACCCCCCGGAGCCGTGTGAGGCACTTTTTTAATGGATGGGCGATTTTTATTTAAGTTCTTTTGGACTGAAGCAATGCAACACCCGCTGAGTGGCATTAAACAGCTTGAAAGATCAAAAACAATTTTTAATATAACTCCGACTGGATTCGTCTGAAAGAAGAAAGTCATATACACCTAGGATGACTTGAGGGTGAGTAATTTATGGGCTAATTTTCATTTTTGGGTGAACTAACCCTTTAATGGAGAAAGCAATATTATGCATAGAGAACTCATATTTACAACCAAGCAAAGACATATATAAAAACATGAAGCTTTTCATTTCACAAGACATTATCTGATGGACTGAAGTCGCGTGAATTACTTGTGGATTATTGTGATGTTTTTATCAGTTGTTTGGACTCTCATTCTGACGGCACCCATTCACTGCAAAGGATCCATTGGTGAGCAAGTGATATAATGTTCTGATGAAGAAACAAACTCATTTACAACCTGTGAAGTTGCAGTTTTTGCATATTTTCTTTCTCTGACATTATACTGGTACTATATTGAACAATTATTGACATTACAAATATTGACAGAGAAGGAGCTTTAATAAATGAGTTTTTGTAGATGGACGCTTGGTTGCTGCCTATGATGATGCATTTTCATCTTTGAAACTTGGAGGCAAGAACAACATCTCTGCTGCCACTAGCCTATTAGCCATTAGCTTGTAATAGGGTTGAGGTGGTTTGTTTACATACAGAGCCAGACCCTTGGTTTCTAGAATAATAGAAATTCTATACCTGCCAGCTTCTTAGATGTATATAATGATGCTTTTATGTCATATAATGCATATTGTCCAAATCAGGAAACACGCAAGTCATTTTACCATTGCTTTTGTTCCACCACAGCACTTTGAGAAGATGACTGTTAGTATGCAGGCAGTTTTTACATCTGAAAGAGGGCAATTAGGGAGAGGAACCACATAATAGATCAGCCCTTATATGAACATACAATGAGTTAGTCAAGCATAGTTAAATGCAGCACACTGAGAATGGATCTTATATGTCAGAACATTATATTACGATGGACAACTTTGAGCACCTCTTTTGCAAAAGGGTTCGGATGTAATAATTTTTGAAAGCAATTTTTAAGGTATGTGTTAAAGCTATTGGCATGATCATGACAATAATTTTTACGACTTGTTATGCTTTTATGATCTATGTTTCTTGTAAAATTTACTTTACTAAAATATTATAAACATTCATAAAATAAATAAATGGAGTTGATTAATTTGATGGTATTATATAAATATCACAAGATTATATTGAAATTAAATAGGCCTACTTTTTATTTAAAGCCTTTATATTTTTATATATACTTATATATTCCTTTCATTATTTATTTTAATATATGGCCATTTAATAATATATCTTGGACATTTGACCACCATTCTTTAGACCCCAGATGCCCTTTTTAGGATTTCCCTTCATTATTTATTGATTAATGTCTGGCATTGCCAAGCAGGAGGAGGTTCATTACGCTAATCTAACACTTTGTTTGCTTGTGCATGACAAAACTGCACTTGTGTGGTGTAGCTTAATTGTATTAATTTAGATAAATCACTGACACAATAACGAGACAGTTTAACAAGCCATGGTTTATTGTTGTTGCTTTTACTGTTACAGTGTAAGAAAAGAAAAAATTATTTTCTTCATGACGCTGGAGTCACTTACAAGACAAACAAGAATTAATTGAACATTAATATGAACAGCAATTTAAAGGTTTGTGAATTGTACAGTAGATAATGGCATATTTTAGAGGCTGTTGTTGCAGTCATTTGACATTTCATGTGGAAAAGATGATGTTTGGCATTTATTTGTTTGGTGTGAGACAATGCATAGATTTAGTCACTTAGATGACGTGCATTTATAACACCACTGAAATTTAATCTAGTCCTCCCCTGAGCCTCTTGATTGTAACCTTACCCAGCACTTGGCCTAGGCTTGGATTTAAACAGGTTCATTTAGGGTTTGTGGTATGCATTACGTCTCGTCAGGGAGACTAAGCTATGCGTCTTCACCGATATGTTTTTTTTTGCTTACCTTTATAACTACCCTTATATATATTTATATATTTAGTTCCTAATGAAAGTAATGCTGTATATATCATATTGAAAAATAATCTGACTTTAGGTGTGCTATTTAATATTGTAATGAAACAAAACAAACCAACTTGTTATATTGATTCTTTATTTTGCATTTTATTAATGACATTGATAGTCATAACTGTTGTGCATTGGAAATGGATTGGACAAGCAGCTCATAACCTCTTCTTGGACTTGTTTCAATGCATAACCGCTGAATAGCTGATGCACTGTAAGAGGCAAAATTACTCAATTTAAATTACACTGATAACCATCTCTTCTAGCAAGGAAAATGACAATCAAATTAAATCATGAAAAAATATGTTTAGCGCAAATATCACCTACATGTAATATCACATACATATGCAATAATTGCATGGGATAGTGAATATATGAAGTTAACAATGAATGGGGTCACTCTATATTTAGAACTTTTCCGATTAATATTTCATTATTTCTTAGTGAACTGAATACAGTCCAGCCATTAAGAATTAATCCCTACCAGTGTCATGAACTCTGGAATATTAAGTGGTCAACAGAGAAATAATCACGCAGCTTAGTATGTAAATTTGTGATTCTAGTCCATGATAAAAACTGAATTTTCTAAGAGTGGACATATTAAGGTACATATGTATCAGACAGTTGATAGCATCATAATAATGTATGTTGATACTCGTTTGAATTTTCTCCTGCTCATAAAAATATATTTAGAAGTGCTAATTACTCTCCAAAGTCATCCTGCCAATAAAGTGTGACATTAAAAAACATATATCATGTCTGTCTAGATATATATACTTTGTATAATATACTTTTGCTCAATTTTATTTATTCTAAACAATCAAAAAATTGTTCTGTTAGATGGTTGATAATTTGGCTTTAAATCAAAATATCATTCTGCAAGTCACTGCTCAATCAAACAACAGAAAATAAAATTGTCTGGCACAACAATATAAAATTACAAGCTTTTTATTTGTTTGGTACTCTAATAATATTAAACATTTAACCCACCTCAGATGTGATGGAGGAGACAGTCCTCTTCGGTCAGTATCATTACCATACTTAGGTTCTATTTGGAAATGTCCTCAGACACATTTAGTAACAGCTCAGCCAACGTGCATTATTTATATAGGAATGAGCCAAACAGATAATGTTACCCTAAGTCCGTGTAGTTGATACATTTAAGGTGCCCTTCGCAACTATCACGGGGAGCCCTCGCATACTTTCAGACACATGCATCTGGAGCTCTTGAAGGACACTACCTGCAAAACTCAAGAGGACAAAAAGTGTAGCTGGAGTACTTTTCCCAAGGCATGAAAAAGCTTATAGCACATGACAAAAGGGATGCTGACATTCATGGATGCCTGTTTCGTCTGTGGGAAATCTCTTGCCAAAATTAGCACTACAGCCAAGGACACAACTCTGTTGGACATTTCTGAAATGTGAGGAATTCACCTGTAAGGTAGTGTCCTGAACAAAAGAGCTATCAGCATTTTGGCTTTTGTGTTAAGTGGAAATGCTTTTTCTTATACTCAAAAGACAAAATTAGACATATAATTAATAACTTTTTTTGTGATGTAAGTGATCTACTTGCACTTTATGCTCACTTACGCTATGCTGAAGCTGTATTACACATGGAACATTTGTATAACAGTTTGAGCTTTCTGTCATTGACCACCCATTTTTAGCACAGTGACATATATTGCATGATTTTTGGAGAAGGATAAAATGCCACCAAAGAAAGCAGACAAAGCTGCACCTAAGAAAGGTGCAAAGGGGGAAGCAAAAGAAGATACAAAGGCAGCAAAAGATGACAAGAAAGGGGGTAAGGGAGGCAAAGGGAAAGAGGATCCAAAGAAAGGAAAAGGAAAGGGCAAACAAGCTCCTAGTGAATCTGAGGAGGCCTCCGAGGTGGAAAGGAGTGAGGCTGAGGACAGTGAAGCAGTGGATGAAGAGGATGTGCAAAGTGAGGATGATGGTGGTAAAAAGGGAAAAGGAAAAGCTGCTCTGAAGGGAGCGTCCAAAGCTATGGCAGTAAAGGCTGTAGCTAAGCCAAAGCGTGGCCAGGCAGCAGAGGAAGGTGTTGATCCAAAAACTGGTAAGCGTGCCAATATTAAGGCTGCATCAAAAGCTGTGACAGGATTCCAACCTGAAGAGAAGAAGCCACAACTTCAGCTAGGTAAAATGAAGGACATAAACCTGAAAGGGGCCTCTTCAGCTATGATGGGCTTTGCTGTTCAGGGTCAGCAGGATGTTCAAAAGAAAGAGGATGCAAAAGCTCATTTAAAAGGTGCTTCTAAAGTTCTCACAGGTCTGACAGGAAAGTCCCCATTTTTTTCAAAACCTGCCCCAAAACAATCTAAAAAGCTAAAAAGCACATCTAGGCTTTTCATGGGACTATCTGGCAGCAAGAAGAAAAAAGGTATGACACCAAAGGCATTACAAAGTACATCAAAGTTGTTTTCAGGTTTCGGAAAGTCCAAAGCTACAGAAGATGACAAAAATAAAAAAGAGGAGGGTGGAAGAACACTCTTATTACTCAGTATTGGTGGAAAGGCGAATAAAAATGCAGCAGCCACCTCTGGACTGGGAGGCAAATTCAAAGGCTTTTTTGGTAAAAAGAAAACTGGAGCTGCACAATTCAAGAGTAAAGGATGGGCTCTGGGGAAGATAGCAGGAGCAGCAAACTGGCTAACTAACAAATTCATCTCATCCAAAGCATCTAGACGACTAGGTCGCTCTGTTCGTTATGACAGGTCAAGTGTGGGGCAATATCACGGCTATCAGAATGGAGGTTATGAATATGATGAGGGTGAGTTCAGCTATGAGGAAGATGACTATGTTCAAAGCAGTTATAGCAGAAATAATCCCCGGGGACGATATAGAAGCAGAAATCATGACAGCTATGGTCAGGGGCGCTATAGAGGACCACATCAGTATAACTACTTTGAAGATGACCAGGAGTATTATGATTATCCTGAAGATGAGTATGGATTCTATGATGAGGAGAACGAATACTATGATCCAGTGTATGAGGATGAGTATGGAAATGAGTATCTTGATGAAGATTATTATGATCAGTATCAGTATGATGGAAGACAACCTTATGGTTATTATGATGATGATAGAATGGACTATGGTTACAGGCACCAGAGAATCGATGAATTTGGATACCCTGTTGATGGTATGGAATACTATGATGAAATGGGTTATGCGATGGAAGATGAATTTGGCTACCTTGGTAATGATGTGGAATATTATGACTATGGATACTATCCAGAACAGTTTGACTATTATGGTGATCAGCAAAACTATTATAGTCACTATGATGGTGTTTCAGATGCCTACATGATGTATCCAGGTTATCAAAATGCATACAATCAAAACCAGTACATGTACAGTGGAGAAACCGCTGCGGTTTACATTGACCCTCAGATGGCTGTTAACCAGCCATTTATGTACACGGTGGAGGACGTCATGGAACCAACAGAACCCTCAGAAATGTACGGTAATGAATATGTTCAAATACCAACTGAGGGAATATTGACTGAGGATTCATTCAGATTTCCAAGACCACAAGTAAAACTGTTTGGAAAAGAAAAACTTGAAATTTCAAGTCCAGTTTTTCAGATTCCCAGGAGTGATCTTGAGATGATTCCAGACCAATTTGAACACCAGCCACTTGTTTCACCTATGAGCTTTCCTCTATATATTCCACAGCAACCGGAAGCTGTACAAAGGTCATTATCTCCCATCCCTATATTAATTCAACAAGGACAAGCACCAATTATACCGCTTAGTAGTCCCATTTTAACCCGATCACCCCAAATACCATCCTCGCCTGTTCTTCAAGCAAGACCTTTTTCGTATCCAATGCCAGTGTCACCTGTCCTAAGTAGACATTCTTTTGGACCTGTTGGACCCATACCACTCTCAACACCAGCATCTCCAGTTCTGTCCGCAAGGAGATTCGATCCAACTATGGGTGATCCAGTCTCTCCCCATTTAGTCTATTCAGATCCCATGTTTCAGAGACTTGATTTTCCACATGAAAATGTCCAACCAATAACAATGAGACAATTTAATCATCTCCCATCACCACAGCTTTCCTTAAGACAAAGCAATTTTTCAACTCAAAGCAGCCCTATACCTCGCCAAAGATCTGATATGTATGAGGAAATGAGTCCGAGGTTCTCACAAAGGCAGTCTAGAATGTTTGGCCCACCATCATACAATAATAATGCACAAAGGCAGTTCTCTCCTATTCAAAGGAGAAAATTTAGCCCCCCTTCTTCTCCACAACCATCCAGAAGAGCACCATCACCATTAGCTTCTTTAAGGGGAAAATCTCCAACCCCACAGAGAAAGCCATTTGGTTCTAGAGCACCATCCCCTCTTGTTAATGGAAGAGAGAGTCCTCCAATGTCTCCACGAGGCTCAATGAGAAGAAGAAGTCCTCCTTCTTCACCTAGAGCAACCCTGAGGCAAAGTGCTAGTCCTACCCCTCCAATAAAATCTCGTTTCAGGCCAATTGGTAGAAGCAATCAGGAGTCTTTCATGTCATCAAGATCTATGAGGAAAAGCTCTCTTTCACCACAACCATCATTACGGAGGAGGAGCCCTCCACTGTCTCCAACAATAGGCCAACAATCACCAGAGGAGCGCTCTCCATACCCACGCCGCAGAGCCACATCTCCCATCCAAAGACCCCTATCTCCAAGACCAATATCTCCTTTTGCTTCTAGACCTCAGAGACCTCTTTCACCATCACCATCAGTGTTTTCTGGCAGAATTCAACATGACCCACAACATCTGCCTACTCGTTCATCCACACGTAGATTCAGAGGATTTGGTGGGAACAAAGTGCCAATGGGAACAGTTAAGCCATCTCCTGTCAATCCAATTTTTCAAAGAAAAGGTCATCATGGTACTCCTCAAATGCAAAATGTTGCTCCATTCAGATCTTCCATCCATAATGCATCCATGGGTTCAGGAGCTTTGAATCAAAGTGCTAGATCCTCCCCCATCATGTTGGCAAGACAAGGTTCCAGACCAGCAGGGTTTCAAGACTCAAAGAGATTCTTTCTACCTGGAACACCAAATCCACAAAGAGGTTTTCATAGACCTGTTGGGAGAGGGCGTCCTGTTGTGAGAGTACCAATAAGTCCTGTTCCTCTCGGGCAATCAATAAGAGGCCAGAGCCATCCTCTTTTAATGAATGCTCAACCACCTTTTCCTCAACAGTTTCCAGTAAAACAGCCAGGAGTACCTTCACCACAACTCTCTGTGAGACATTTTCCAACCCCATGCCCATCACCTCAACTTTCAATGAGAGCTGGTTCACCAATGTCTGTACGATCACCATCGCCGATCCTCTCATCCTCTATACAGAGGAATGCTCTACATAATGAATTAATCAATCGTGCCTCACTCAGATCACAATTTCCATCGAGTATCACTCCTCAGCCTCAAGTAATAACTGAATTTGCCCAGACAGTTCAACGAGGGTCATCTCCTCTACTAACAAATGCTTTACAGAACCCAAATCTTGCTGCTGCTTCATTCAGTTCACCTCTTCCCAGGTTTAAATCCCCAATGTCGCAGATCAACCAAAATTTATCTCAGAGCTCTTCTCCAGCCTTAACAAATGCATTGCAAAATCCACTTCTCCGTAATGCCACTTACCGCTCACCTCTACAAATGTCTGCATCTCCTCATTCTATAGTGGCACCTCAAGAGGTTCAAGTGACCAGTCCGATTTCTTCTCCAATGCTCTCTAATGCATTGCAAAACCCTTACCTACGTAATGCGTCTCTCACTTCCCCACTGCAAAGAAGCACATCTCCTTATTCTTCTGCAGCTGCTCAGCAGGAACCGCAAAACATTTTGCAGTCATCTTCAGCGCTAACCAATGCACTAAAAAATCCTCAGTTACGCAGTGCCTCATACATCTCTCCTCTTCAGCGGAATACATCATTATATGCTCCAGTGATGTCACAACCCGAACAGCAAGCATCAGTATTATCAAATGCACTTAAGAATCCTAACTTAAGAAATGCATCCTATTCCTCTCCTTTACAGAGAAATCCTACTCCTTTCCAGCAAGCACATGATTATTCCTCCCCTTTGTCAAATGCATTAAAGAATCCAAACCTTCAAGGTGCCTCCTTTCGACTACCTGATACATCAATAATATCTAGGAATTTCGGAGGCCAAAAAGAGGAGACTACTACATCTGTTCTGTCAAATGCTTTGCAAAACCCTAGTCTCCGGAAAGCAACTTACAGGCTCCCAGATGGTACAATAATATCAAGAAATGAGCCAGCACAACCAGCTCCATCTTCTTTACTGTTATCCAATGCTCTTCAGAATCCTAACATTCGAAAAGCAAGTTACAGGCTTCCCGATGGAACACTTGTATCCACTAGCACTGATGAAGCCGCGGACACAACCAATTCCTCACCATACCTGGGAAGTGCTCTGCAGAATATTAACCTACGTAAAGCATCTTATAAACTACCTGATGGCTCTCTCTTTTCTCGAAACCAACCAGCAGAACAGTCATCCTCTCCATGTCTTTCAAGTGCTCTTCTAAATTCAAACCTTCGTAAAGCTTCCTACAGACTTCCTGATGGAACCCTTTTGACTAAGAGCTCTGAACAAGAACCAGAGAAGTCAATTTCATCTAATTTGTCAAGTGCACTACAAAATGTTGGTAAGGCCAACTATCGCTTACCTAGTACCTCTGGCCTGTTTACAAAACAAGAGCAAGCTCCCCCTTCAATGTTGTCCAGTGCCCTTCAGAACCAAAACCTTCGTAAAGCATCTTACAGATTGCCTGATGGATCAATCGTGACAAGAGGTCAACCAGCTCAAAGTGAATCTCCCACATCACCCTTTCTGGGAAATGCCTTGACGAACATTAACTTACGTAAAGCATCCTACAAGTTGCCGTCAACACTGGGACGTTCTCCAGAGGACCCAAGGTACGCAGTAGTGACCCCTCAGATTCAGGGCCAGTCTGGTGAACACTGGGCTCAAAATCAAATACTAGATCTTCATGAGCCAGATGATGTCTGGTCTTCAGAAAGAGTCCTCCCTCATCATACTGTTCAGAACCTCACAAAATGGTCCATGTATAGGGATGAAGAACTGGAGAATTTTGTCATCCCTGTGTTTCCTGGCCAAGAGACAGATAGCACAGAACCTGCATGGCTACCAGATAGAGAAGGTGAACCTCAAGGGAACTGGTATGACAAGGTAACATAACTGGCATATAGTTGCTGTATATAAGAAACCGTTGCTTAGTTTTTTTGTTGCTATCTAGACTTTACCTGTGAAATTGTTGTACACTAGAAATAAATACACTAGAAAAATATCTGTGCCACTAAAATGATGCTATAGTATGACTGATTTGAAGCTTCAGATTAAATGATTAGATTAGAAAGATTGAAATTTAGGTTTAAAACTATGGGTCAAAAATAATGCCAGGCAATGTCAAATATCAAACGAAAATATTATGACTTGTTTATTTAGCGGATATTAGGTAATATAGACTATGGATGGCTGCATGGATTAGATGGATGGATATTTTTTTATATAAATAATCAACATAAAATATAAATGACTGGGCAAACTCAAAACAAGCCACAATGCAGCAAAATATACCTGCCACGCCAGCTATATTACAACAGCATACAGTTATCATTTCAACAGACCTTAGTCAGAGTAGCAGCATATTACATTTTTTGACAGGAATGAAAACAAAGCTGCGAGAGACAGAAATACAGTGTGTTCAATTGATTGTGCATGCCAGTTGCTGATGAAATATCTTACAAAAAATCTTTCAGTAGAAAAAAACTCAATGAATCCATGCATGCCCTTGCAAAGACTATGAAACTTGTAAGCCTATACCTCACAGCTTTATTTTCATCTTTGTAAATTCAATATGACATCGACCCTGACTAATGTCTGTAAGGAAATATAGTATGAAATATTGGCCTTATATCATGATTGGTTTACACATTGTTTACCCAATATTTTTCTTTTACTGGAATGCTTTTTAGATGTACTCAATTCGAAGTCTGCCCACAATGCTGTACCGTGAATGTACAGAGGAGGATGGCTTTGAGGACATGACACAGCTTGAGTATGAAATTACTGAATAAGATAAATGCTATTTAACTATACACAAACTCACACACACACACACACAGGTTTGTTTTTGTGAAAAGTGGGGACATCCCATAGGCGTAATGGTTTTTCTACTGTACAGACCGTATATTCTATTGCCCTACACCAACCCTACCCCTAAACCTACCCCTCACAGGAAGCTTTGTGCTATTTCAGATTTTCAATACACTCCATTCTGTGTGATTTATATGCGTTTTGAAAAGTGGGGACATGGGGTAATGTCCTGAAAAGTCACTTTCTCCTTGTAATACCTATGTCATACCCTTGTCATTATACAAATTTATGTCCTCATTTGTCACAAAAACGCGCGCGCACACACACACACACACAGTATATATGATAACTGAAATTTTGTGCTCAAATTTAAAAGAAAATGCTTTCGTAAAGAATAAATCTCTTTCCAGGGAGCTGCACGAAGGTGCTGTGTTACTGAATTTGAAGAAAAGGTTTGAAAGCAATTTGATATATGTAAGTAAATTGCAAAGTCCACTGCATATTTGCATATCTTAGTTATAAAGAAACGCATCAATTTACTACTGTTTCTTTAGAACTAAAAAGTATGTATTTTAAAACCACTGGTTAAATAAAATGAAAATGCTATTATACTGTAAAATGTCCATTGCTAAAAATGTTGTGAACTTTAAAATGAATAAAATTCTAATAAAATTCTAATTAAATTAATTTAATGAACTGTTATCAAAAACAGATTATGAACAAATAATTTTGTTTTCCTCCAAGACTTACATTGGAAGCATCCTGGTGTCTGTTAACCCATACAAGATGTTCAACATCTATGGAACAGACATGGTTCTGCAACACAAAGGACATGCGCTTGGAGAGAATCCTCCGTAAGTTCATTCATTCATTCACAATATTAATTGAACAAATTAATTCATTTATATTTTTTGCACCACTTTTATAAAATGAAATTTCTTATCAATGCAAGGCTAATTCCTTATATTGTACTTTTTTTCTTTAATGTTTTGTGCTTCTCCATTGTGTCTGCAGACATCTATTTGCTATTGCAAATGCCTCATACACAAAAATGTTGGATGCCAAAGAAAACCAGTGCATTATTATCAGGTAGGATTTAGGTACACATTTGATTACCTCACAGAATGTACCGGTAAGTTTACACTGTTCAACTAACCTAACTGGTATGGAAAGATCAAATAAAGGAATTGTCAGAATTCAAATAGCTGATCTTTGTCCTGTCACCTCAAGTAGTCTTTTACACTGATGGAACCATCAGTGTCAGTTCTACTTGACACAACTGATCGCCTGGAACACTTTAAACCTAGCTCTGACGGAGATAGCTGTAAGGAAAGACTACTGATGTCTAGGCCATGATTGCACCAGCAGATCATGTCTCTGTGAAATGCACCCATGGCTGTTCAGAGTAGCTGGAACGACAGTCAAACTCAAGCATTCGATTTCACCTCTGTCTGTCTGTCCTAGCTCATTACTTAAGTGCATAGCAAAAGACAAGGAAATCGGTTCCTCACGTGCCAATTTAAAGTGCAATTAAGTAGTTAAACTGGTAATTTAGGGGGTTACAGTCACCATGTGGTTTAAATGTGCTTATTGCCTTTCAGTGGGGAGAGTGGCTCTGGTAAAACAGAGACCACAAAGCTAGTTCTCCGGTACTTAGCCGCAATACATCACAAACAGAACATCACACAGCAGGTATGAGTTAAGCTTAAAAACTTATTTAAAACTATTAAAACTGTTTATATACAATTTATAACTCATCTTTTTCTTATATTTTACTTTTATGCAACAATACAGATTGAGGTATTGTACTTCTGTATGGCCTTCTGTTGTTTGTACCCTATATGTCGCATGGGTTGTTGCACTTTGTGACATGCAACGTGCAAATGTCATAGAGTATTAAAAAAGGATTAAAAATGTAACAGAAGTGATGAATCATTTATAGAAATTTAAGTAAAAGGACAACACAACAGCAAAAAGTGTGTTGTCCATATTGTTCAAGTGATCATATGCACATTTTGCTATATAGAAACAGTAAATATTAAGACTTGTCAAAGATTGTATCTTTTAAAAAGTGTATTTTGTCTTATTGCACTAGCAGATTTTTTGACGTTATAAACAAGCTCAAAATATCCCCAGAATGCAGTAATACAATATACACTCACATTCAAGATATAATCTCATGTCTCATGCAGTGTTGCTCTTTTAAGTAAATGTATCTAGTTTTAAGTATTTTAGATAGTTTAACAGGAATTAACAGGATAGTACTTTGCAGTGTTGTACAAATTACAGCAGTTTATTGCTACATCCTTCACACAGTTATGTATTTATGGCGTACAGATTCTTGAAGCAACTCCTCTTTTAGAGTCTTTTGGAAATGCCAAAACCGTACGGAACGATAACTCCAGTCGATTTGGGAAATACATGGAAATATTTATGGAAGAGTAAGTTCATCAATATCAAGTCTCTTTACTGTGTTATGGATACACCTAAGAGGAAGCACTTCTTTGGAGTGCCTTTACAGCTGAAAGAGGATAACAGGGTCAAGATTAACATGAGGCCAGTTAAAATGCCTATATGTTGGTGTACATGGGTTAAGTTACAAATTACATATTAGCCTAATGCTTGTCTGATTTTCCTGCTTCAAACAGAGGGGTAATCAGCGGTGCCATAACCTCACAGTATCTACTTGAAAAGTCCAGGATTGTGTTTCAGGTATTCTTCATAATGCTCTTATGGACATTTAAAAGTTCATCATTCAATAAACCAATGGACCTTTTTCACATTTCCGGGTTTCTCAGCAGCGGAAGTCGTCATAGTTGGGCTAACTTGAATAGCAGTGAATGGAAGAGTACCACAAATATATTTTTTGAATTCCCATTTGCTCAAATAGCAAAAGAAAAACTCCACGATAGTGTTTTCATGAATTTCAATAAAAGGAAAAAAATTGAGAGAGACTGATACACAGTCTTGTGAAAAGGGTCCATTCGTTGCAGAAATCTGAAATGTTAATTTCATAATGTTAATTTTTATCTCTTAGGCCAAAGATGAAAGAAACTATCACATTTTTTATGAGATGCTTGCTGGCCTTCCTTCACAGCAGAAACGGTCTTTATACCTTCAAGACGCAGAGACGTATTATTACCTCAATCAAGTGAGGCCAGATCATTATAGCAATAAAAGCCTCAAAAATTCAAAAGCGCTGCTGTTTGACTGCTTTTCTCTTTCATGGACGCTCTTTTTGGTTGCAAGGGTGGAGACTGTGAGATTGTTGGCAAAAATGATGGGGAGGACTTCCGCAGGCTCCTCAGCGCCATGGAAATACTTCACTTCAGTGCCGAAGACCAGAGCGGTATCTTCAGGATCCTGTCTTCCATCCTCCACTTAGGAAATGTCTTCTTTGAGAGATATGAGGTACAATGAATCTCAATCTAATGCATCCTGCTCACTTGGATTTCCCTCATGTTGCTGTGTTATGATGCTCTTTTTCAGTGGTGCCATGAATTAAGTTGAATTTTTTTGACTCTATATCTTGGCAGACTGAATCTCAGGAAGTTGCATCAGTTGTGAGTGCTCAGGAGATCCGAGTGGTGGCTGAAATTCTACAGATTTCCCCAGAGGGTCTACAGAAGTCCATTACTTTCAAAGTCACGGTAAGAAAAAACCTGCTTGGTAATGGATTCAATACTAAACAAAACATTATCACCCGTTACATAACACAGATGTTAGTTTCTATTTTTGGATTTTGATATCCATTCATCCTTGTCACTAAAAAACTGATGTAAAGGTTTGAACGCTATTTGACATACTGTATGTAAATTGCAAAATCCAATGCATAATAATATCTCTTATGTATAAAGAAACATATGAATGTAATATACTGTATATGTGTTTCTTTAGAACTACGAAGTATGTATTTTGAAACCACTGGTTTAATAAAATGAAAATGCTATTACCGGTATACTGTAAATATTTTATTACTAAGAATTTTATGTGAAAAAAATAAATTACATTCTAATTAAATTAATTACATTAATGAACTGTTATCAAAAGTTGATAATAAACTTTTGTTTCATTTCAAGACTTGCAATGTCAGTAATAAAACAAAAAACAAAACAAATAAATGATCCAAAACGCACATTTAACCACTTTTACATTTATTTACCCATGTCAAATCCGTGTATCATTCGATCATTCGTTTTTTTATTTAATATTGAAAGTAGAAAAATGAGAAAACGGCTTCTTTTTCGTTTTTTTGTTCCAAAAAACTTTCAAAAATTTTCATGCTGTTAGAGTTATATAATGTAGTTTTGTGTTTTTATCAAAATTTATTATAATTGATATCTCAAAAGGATATGCACTTGTGCGCAGCGTGAGCACTGCAAGTTCTGCAACGCAAGATTTTCATAAAATATAATAACTTGCCATTTCGGTTTGTTTCTTTTCACACTATAGAAATACTATAGTATCATTCGATCATTCGTTTTTTGATTTAATATTGAAAGTAGAAAAATGAGAAAACGGCTTCTTTTTCGTTTTTTTGTTCCAAAAAACTTTCAAAAATTTTCATTTTTCGTTCATGGGTGGAAAAATTAATAAGCAGCTTGAATATTCGATTTCTACACGTGGGCGGGAATTAAACGCCCCTTTCTGCTGATTGGTCAGCGAAGATCAAACCGTGCCTTCATCAGTTCTTCCGCAGTATCACGCAGCAGAATAATAGTCCTCCACTGCTGCAGTTGTATGGATTCTTAACGCATTTATTGCAACTACATTTAATATTTTTTTCATCAAACAAACAGGCTAATGAATAGCTCGACACAACTCATACTTCTCGTTTTTCATTTTTTGGAAAAAACAAAAAAACGAAAAAGGAGCTGTTTTCTCATTTTTCTACTTTCAATATTAAATCAAAAAACGAACTGTTTTAACTGAAAGAAACTTGCACTGACTGATCTTAAAATCAGTTTCATTGTTATGTATCAAGATGCACACCAGTAGTGTGTTTATCTAAGGCATGTTTATAAAAGCTACTTAAATGTCCTAATTGAACTAGTGCTGTCAAATGATTAATCGCGATTAATCGCATCCAAAATAAAAGTTTGAACTATGTCCTAATCCTGGTTTAACCTAAGCCCTGTCTGTGAAACCGATCCTAAATATTGTTGCAGCCACTGCATATTGTGTTTCACATGAACTGGCACTGTTTGAGATAGACTGTACTCGAGGATATTAACAGGAAGAGTCAGTGACTCAGCTCTAGACCTTACATGACCTCCAGGCAGACCTTACGTCAAGGTCCCATACCAAGTATCAACATACTGTTAGTAAAGGATTTATCATTACATCATTTTTTTCTTGGAAACAAAACCATCCAAATGCCAAGACTGTTCAATTAGATAGCAACCACAAGACACCAAGAGAAAGCCGCGAATGGTGCGTATAAGCCCCAAATCCCTCAGATAGTATAACGTGCCAAGTTGATTATGCAGGCCATATCATTGTGGTTACCGTGTAACCCAGTCAGGGAAAACCCTGTGCAGAAACAGACAAGGGGCCCTTAAGCCATATCAGCCTCACATCATAGACTGTGTAACAGTCCTGTGTGTAACAAATACCATCCAAACCTCTGCAGGGGTGCCACCAAGAGGTCTGACGCAGTATTAACCCTGCCTAACCAGTCCACCACAAACACAATCAGCTTAGTGCTTGTACAGGAATTACAGCATCTCCAAAACCTAAAAGTCTGTTTTACTGTGAATACACTGTGATCAAAAGGGCTGCATAACAAAGTTTTACTTTCTAGAGTGCAACAGTGCTCACCCACTTTTTCAGCAGACTTAGTTTCAGAAATATTTTTCCCATTCATTTTTCCCCCATAGGGATTTTAAATAAGGCTTTGTTATAGTTACATAAGTTACATTGTTTAAAGTTACAAGCCAGGAAACAAGCCGTGAATTACAACATAACAACAATTATAACATAAACTTTGTTTTGAAGCAAAAAAAAAAAAGTGTTAAAATTGGACAAAAAGACAAAAGTATGGGACTGTAGTACATAGCTTTGATGAAGAAAAAATACAATCCCTTGAAGCATTGTGAATGACATAATCAAATCAAAAACTACGAAGAATCAAAAATTGATTCAAAGATAAAGAATATGTTTTACATTCATAGCAAAATATGCATGTTATGCATACAAAGATTTGCTTGTCATGATTCTCTGAAATTTCTCTGAAGAATCATGGGTAATGTTGTTTTTCACCAGAAATTCTGCTGTTGATCATGATTATTTAAATTTATGTTGAAATAATGTGGGCTAAAGGCTTTAACAAAAGCATGTACTATTGATTACCAACCTTGTAGGTCTTAGAATGTCTGTCTTTAAATGTTTTTAAGTTATCAATCACAGTAAATTCCCCTATGAAGAAAATACATGGAATTTTTACTTCTGGAACCCCACTCTATAAATAACATGTTAGTATAGATCTAGTAGTTATGGTATTGACCAACAGGGGCTAACTCAACCATGCTAACTAGCCAAACCTTGACCTTCTGCATTAGACAAACCTGCCTTAAAATCATACCACTGAGCCAATGACATTGTCATGCTGATCGAGATCCTCAGGCAAAACAAACAATGTTATGACAAAGACATTGTGAATGAGGGATGGACGAAAAAATGTGGCTGTTTACATAAGATGATAAGATGACAGAAAGCAGCTATAATTACATGCTACATATATATGCTCCTATTTCTGTCTAATTATTTATATCAATTCATGACAAGACATGGCCCATAGTAAAATCTCTCAGATGTGTCAGTTAAAACAAATAGAGAGCATATTTAAATGACCGTTCCTATTCAAACCTGAGATATGTTTTAAACTATCCAAATTTCCACACCAACAAAAGGAAAAGTCTTTAAAGTTCCAGCATTCCTTATCCAGTATAGGTTCTGGAAATTAAGGAGCATCCAGGGTTTTTTAAAAAACAAGTTGTTTTCTTATGAACTCCATATATTTTCCATCTGAGGTATCTAGAGTTGATTCCTCAACCTTCTTCTGATGTAGACCATCAGCATATCCGTATTTTGTTTCAGCATCTTTCCTCACATCAGAGCCACATCAGTTCCTGATTTCAGATGTATCATCAAAAAACCTTTCATGTGATCCTTCACACAGCATCTTGTTTCAGATCAGCCTTTGTCTCAGTTGGTCTTGGATAGAGCCAGTGCTCATCAATGTTCACAGTCCCATTTCCATGTTGAAATGTGCTAAGTCATTTGGACTACTACTCATGGCTGCTACTGTGACACCTCTGAGGGCTCTTAAAGTAATTTAGCTAATTCTTTTCATTAGAGAAACAGGTACTACCTATGTAACAGAAGGGGGCCATACTCAAAGTCATTTCGCTTTGTCCAACTGAATTGCACGGTGATCTCATGCTACCAGGCTTTTCTTATCTGATGAAACCATTAAAGCCCTGCTTTCAGACATCGACACCAGAATTGTATCCTGCTAAGAGACAGATATATCCAAGTAAAGTGAACGAGAAGGGGAATTCTTCTACCACAACATTAACTATTTAAGGAAAGATTTTTTATTTAAAGGCCTTAATGTCATCAGTTGAAAGGGATTAGTATCGTCTTGCCACAGATGCAGAGGTGTGTTTACATCTACCGACACTAGCGCTGTAGGCTGCTCCTCTTAAAGGCCATATCAATTTCACCTGCCTACTGATAGTGCCTTAGCAACATTTCATCTCAAAGAGATCAGCAACATTTGAATAAAGCTGGTTTCCAATGAAAGTGGCGTCTTTTAATATAACAGAACATGTAAGTTTACTCCTTTCAGAAACTTTGCTACAAGTATTTCTGATTATTCTGTACTTTTTTTTTTTTTTTACAGGAAACAATGAGGGAAAAGATCTTCACCCCCTTGACTGTTGAGAGTGCAATTGATGCCAGGTAGAAAAACTGCAATGCATTTCTATATGCTAGCCTAGACATTCTTACTTGCCATAAATAAAATATTGTTATATTTATTTATTTACTTATTATTTATTTATTAGTTGTATATTATCTAAAGCTTCAGCCAAGAAAAAACAGTCCTTACATATTAAACAATCGGCTTTATAATGATTTTACAACTTCTGCCAGTCATGGAATAAGCCACGCCCCTCTTTCCATAACCCGCCATGGCGTATCCGTGGTGCAGTGTTGCCAAGTCCACGGTTTTCCCGCGGAATTGGGCTACTTTAACACTGTTGCCGCGGGTTGTTTTTCATGTCCACGGGTTGAAGCGACCCCAATAATGTTATATTTAACCCCTGGAATGTGAATTTTACCAGGGGAACCCTGCCAAAAAAAAAATTTGTATTTTACCCCCCGAACGCGTAGACCCCCAAATGATTGACAGGCAGAAATCCCTCCACAAGCCTTCTGATTGGCTACATGAGACTATAGGGCCATCACAGATAGCGTCTCGTGATATGACATGATCCTATTTGCTGAAAAATATAACTGACAGTTATGTTTTTCAGGAAATAGTATCGTTTTCTGCATAAAATCACTTAAAGCAACTTTAAGTGAAGTTGTGTGTCAAGGCACACTTACTAAAATGAAAAAAAAATAAATAAATAATGCAATTTAGAGAAAAAAAGGGTTTAATAAATAATAAAGGGAATTAATGAATTAAAGGCTATGAAGAAATAAGAAATATGGAATTGAAAACCTGAGAGAGAGTACTGAACAGATGTATTAGTTTTAGCATCAGTGTCATTCAGGCAGACATTCAGAGAGCTTCATGCTTAGAGATGAAATTGAAAAACTGCATGTAGGGTTCTTCAGATTGTATTGTCTAACTACTGAGCACTGAGGTAATCAAATGATGGTAATTTTCCCTCTCAAACAACAGAGATGCTGTTGCCAAGATCCTGTATTCCCTTCTGTTCAGCTGGCTAACAGACAGAATAAATAGACAGGTTTATCCTCGGAATGAAGCACTTTCTATCTCCATCCTTGATATCTATGGATTTGAGGTATATGCTGCTGTAACTTGTTTGCTCGCCCCAGTAAAAGGGTTTGCTGATACTCTATGTTGCTGTAAAATTTGGATTTCGTTCGACTGAATTCCACTTTTTTGTGCTTTGTAGGACCTTACCTTCAACAGTTTTGAACAGCTTTGCATAAATTATGCAAATGAGTACCTTCAGTTTTTTTTCAACAGGGTCATTTTCAAAGAAGAACAAGTAAGCTGTCTTTATTCACTCTAATCCTCTGAGAACTGTAGATGAGTAAATTGCCTGTGAAAAATGATTTTCTTTTGAATATCCAAGGATGAATATAACAGAGAGCAAATCAGCTGGGAAGAGGTGCCTTTCTCTGACAACCAGGCCTGTATTGACCTCATTGCAGCAAAGCCACATGGGATACTCCGAATTCTTGATGACCAGAGCGGGTTTCCACAGGTGTCGTTTCTTCTTAATGTTCAGTGTTTATTTATTCATCACTACTAGTTTGCATCATTTGCATTTTAATTATCCTTCTTTTGAATGAATTTCCTCTAGGCTACAGACCATACCTTCCTTCAGAAATGCCACTATCATCATGGCAACAATCCACTGTATTCCAAGCCAAAAATGCCTCTCCCTGAGTTTACTATCAAGCATTATGCTGGGAAGGTCACTTATCAGGTGCATTTAAACTACTTGCCTTGAGCCATAGATTATTTGAATTATTCCCTAATAAAGTATTAGTGGAGGAATGGACCAAACTTTCTGTGATGCTTCACAGGTTCATAAATGTCTGGATAAGAATTACGATCAAGTTCGCCAGGATGTTCTTGACCTTTTTATTCAGAGCAAAAACAAGGTGAGAGAAATTATTTAGCTACCATTAGCTAGGAATTAAATGACCATAATAAACCTTATGAATCTTATCTCACTGTGGTTTTAGATGGTTGCATATCTCTTTATGAGTTATGCTGAGGCCCTCAACCAACAGAAATCTCATGTTGGGAAGAACAGCACAGTAACGCGGCGCCAGCAGGCCTCAACGGTGGCAGCCAAGTTCCAGCTATCCCTCATGGAGCTCATTGAAAAGATGGAGAGGTAGACCACCTAAACTGTGCAATGTGCATTACACTGTCTACATGAATCTCTTCTTGTTGTCTTTGATTGGCTCCAGACCCATGTAAGTTATTCATCACCAAGTACTTCCTTCTACTTTTGTACTGACAGAGCCAACCCATATTTTGTGAGGTGCATAAAGCCAAACCAAAACAAGGTAAGGAACAGCAGTCACAGAGGTATTAAGCTATTTGCATCTTGGCTGGAATTGAAATCGACTGAGAGAATGTGTGTAACCCTGCAGGAGCCTGGTGTGTTTGACATGGAGCTGGTTAGTGCCCAAATTAACTATTCGGGGATTTTGGAAACAATTCGAATCAGGAGAGAGGGTTATCCGATCAGAATGCCATTTGATGTCTTCCTTTTCAGGTAAGAGCTAGAGTTGTCAAAATAAAATGAGGCAGTTTGACTCAAATTGAATTAATTATTAAATTATCTGGTTGTGTTTAGATACAAGTCCCTGCTAGGCCTCAAACAGCCTCCTCCTGCCAATGGTGAAAACTGTGTCATCATGTTGAGGAAGCTTTGTCCTGTTAGACCAGGAGCATTTCAAGTTGGTGTCACCAAGGTGAGCATGATTCTGATAAGCACACTTGTTACTATTCACCTAGTCTCAGCTGCATCTGAAATCGCATACTTCCCTAGTGCTATATAGTAGGCTTAAAACTGTATTTGAAAAGAGTAGTGTGTCCGATTTCACAGTGTTCATAAAACACTGGGCGAAAAGTACCTGGATGACTTACTATTTCTGGTGAGATTCCGAAGTGCACATCTGATGGACACTTTAACATCCCATGAGGCCATGGTAGATGAGTTATATGAATGTCAATGAAGCAACATAACTGACACTGGTAGGTCACATGACAATGACAACATGACAGATGAAGTGTGTCTGGATGTCATTCACACTACACATATTCAGAACATATTTTTTAACAGTTGTAAAGTACGTACTAATTCAGAATAAGTACCTACTCAGAAGGGATGCCATTTTGGACAGACCACCCGCAGGTAGTTCTTGGCAAGGTATTTTACAATGTGCACCAGACTGAAAGGTCTGGTTATATGAGGCTACTCTACATGTCTTTGTTTTTTTGCACATTGCAAATTTTGTTTGTTAGTTGTTCGTGAAAGAGGACATATACTTTCTGTTGGAGAGCAAGAGGGACAGAGTAAGGCATGTAGCTGCCCTGACTCTGCAGCGTTATGTCAGGATGTTCTTTGTGAGAAAACGTTATATGGCCTTCCGCATGAAGATCATACGCCTGCAGGCCCACTGCCGAGGCTTTCTCACAAGGTACAAACTATATCATTTATCACTCAAAATGCTTAGGGCTGCCCCTTTTGTAAAAATATTATTTTTTAATGCTTTGCACAGGAAACGGTATGTGAAAATGAGAGCTAGCCTGGTGAAATTCCGCTCTCTGATCCATATGTACGTTGATCGCAAGAGATACATCAAGGTAAGAACAATGCAGTTTTAGTACGTAGTGATCAGGCTGAGCAGCAATCCCACATTTATTAATTTGACTTCTTTCTCTTTTGTTTTAGCTGAGATATGAGGCCAGGAGAAAGGCAGAAGAGGAGCAAAGGAGAATAGAAATGGTTATAATGACAATCACTGTCTAAATCGACCACATTTTACTGTATTTCTTATGCCTACAGTAAATCGGGGAAAATAGGCTAAAATTATTTTCATTGAAAAACTTATACTGATCAAAATCTGTTCTGAAAATTACACTATATATTTTATTTGCAGGAGCTGTCTAAACGGGAAGTGGTCAACGTCACTCATCTGGTCATTCCAGCTGAACTCGGAGCATTGCTGCAAGCAGCTGCCGGTACTGCATTTTCTCATGCTAAGATACATTAATATAATATATATTTAAAGAAATGATATTAAACTTTCTGTTTATCAAAGAATCCTAAAAATGTATCAAGGTTTCCACATAAAACATTAAACAGCACAAACTGTTTTCAACATTGATAATAATAAGAAATGTTTCTTTAGCATCAAATCAGCATGTTAGAATGATTTCTTAAAGAGCATGTGACTGTAAAGAATGGAGTAATGATGCTGAAAATTCAGCTTTGCCATCACATGATTAAATTGGAAATGGTTATAATGACAATCACTGTCTAAATCGACCACATTTTAGTGTATTTCTTATGCCTACAGTATATAGGGGAAAATAGGCTAAAATTATTTTCATTGAAAAACTTATACTGATCTAAATCTGTTCTGAAAATTACACTATATATTTTATTTGCAGGAGCTGTCTAAACGGGAAGTGGTCAATGTCACTCATCTGGTCATTCCAGCTGAACTCGGAGCATTGCTGCAAGCAGCTGCCGGTACTGCATTTTCTCACGCTAAGATACATTAATATAATATATATTTAAAGAAATGATATTAAACTTTCTGTTTATCAAAGAATCCTAAAAATGTATCAAGGTTTCCACATAAAACATTAAACAGCACAAACTGTTTTCAACATTGATAATAATAAGAAATGTTTCTTTAGCATCAAATCAGCATGTTAGAATGATTTCTTAAAGAGCATGTGACTGTAAAGAATGGAGTAATGATGCTGAAAATTCAGCTTTGCCATCACATGATTAAATTGCATTTTAAAATGTATAAAAATAGAAACAGTTATTTTAAACTGTAATAATATTTCACAATTTTGCTGTTTTTACTGTATTTTAAAAAATCAAATAAACAGCTTTGTTGAGCATAAAAAATCTTACCGACCCCAAACTTACAGTACTGAACAGTAGTGTGCAGTGTTGGGAAGGTTACTTTGGAAATCTAATAGGTTACAGATTACAAGGTACCCTATTTAAAGTAAAATGTAATTTTAAGTGTTAGAAGTAGTGTAACTATTTCAATTACTTTATTAAAGTCATGTAACTGATTACATTTGATTACTTTTTGATTACTTTTCTAAATTTCTAATGAATATTTTCAACTGTTATTCATTTTCAAACATTTAAAGCAGTCAGGGTTAACCTTACAGTAACACTGAGTACTGTCAGACTTTCAAAATCCTTCATCACTAATTTTATAGCACAGCCACAACAAAATTAGACTTTAGCACCTATTTTTATTTGGAGATCCTTCTGAGGTTAAAATTATAACAAGATATAGTTTAATAGCTATGATACTGTTTTTGAAATTAAATCTTTGTACAGCTATGACAGGAAACGCCGACATCTAACAATGCCTTAGAAAAAAAAACAGTCAATCTAAAAAAATAAAGCATATACATACACCTAAACAGAAAATAAAACAGTTATTGAATAAGCATGTGTCTTAAACTCCTGAAACATTGGTGTCTCATATTTTAGAGCAGTCAATGCAATTTGGCATAGAAATCAATTAAATCTGTTTGTGTGTGTCTGTGCGAAAATATTCAGATGTAACCCCCTTTGTAATCGTTGACATTTTCATAAGTAACCGTAATTTAATAACCCATTTGTTTTGTCAGTAACTGTAACAGATTACAGTTACATTTATTTTGTAATTAAAATGTAATCTGGATTACGTAATCAGATTCCAAAAACTAAGTACTTGTAGTTAGATTATATTACACTTCCTGGTTCTTCTTTGAGCACTGCCTGTCTCACTTCTCACCTCTGTGTTTTTTAGGTGGCAGAGAGCTCCATTCTGATTGCTTGGCTTTAGTCCAGGCTCCCACAGTTCAGGTGGAGTCGCAGCTCACGCTACCTCTTGATATCAACAACTACACCATCTCCAAATTTATCCAGATTCACTTCAAAGTAAGACATGCCTAAGTAATATATTCCAAAATCACAAACAAGCTACAATAAGCAGACAGTTAACAAATAAGCAGATATTTTTTCTGGACTAACTAACTGGATTAACTTATAAACTGTATGTTTTTATATTTTTATGAATAAATAGGAGGCAAAGTTTGGAATGTTAACTGCACCTTTGAAGACACCACTAACCCACATTGATGACGATCTTACACATGACGCTCTAGATGTCTTTGTCATGGTACACTGCATTATATTTTGTCGAAGATTTTGCCATTGTCATCTATAATACATGCAATAAAGCTCGAATGTTAGTTCTGGAAGTGAAAATACCATTCATTTTCTCTATAGAGAAACAGATTTTTAACAATAACTTATGAACCTTTCAACACACACACCAACTATAAGCATGAGATTGTTATGTGCCTCTGCTGTAGCCACAAGTAAGAGTGATTTCAACTTTATTAGCATTGTTATTTCTTTCACTTTGTAGATCTTGAGGTTTATGGGTGACCCACATCTAAATGGTGCTCAGGAGAATTTATTTGGAAACTACATCATCCAGAAGGGGCTTACCATCCCTGGCTTGCGGGATGAAATCTTATGTCAAACTGCCAATCAGGTTTGGAGAAACACCAATCCAGATAACTCGGAGAGAGGCTGGCTGCTGCTGCTAGCCTGCCTGAGTGCCTTTGCACCATCAGCCAAAATGGAGAAATACCTTCTGAAGTAAGCAACACACCAATATTTACATTGAACATGTCACAAACTACATTTAAGCCTTCATTGCGTTTTGGCTTTGTATGTTTTAGGTTTGTCTCAGATCATGCCTATAATGGATTCAAAGCTGTTGGCCAACACAAGCTCATTCAAGCCATGCAAAAGTCCCTGTATGGACCGGAGACAGCGAGGACTTACCCATTGTCCCTTCTGGAATGGACAGCCAATAGGAAGAAAGCAAACATGGTTTTGCAAGTGCACTGTTTTGATGGTGTGTGTCAGTTTCACTTGCATTGTTTGAGTTTCTGCAACCTTGAATCAGTGTTGGCCAGTTAAAACCCTTATCAGTCAAGGTCTAATTCAGTTGCATTTAACTTTAAACCTTAACCAAACTTTAAGTCTTGTTGCACTATTGCTCTACATTTTTAAAAATTAATTTAAGTTAAATAAAACCTTGATTAACAAGTCCTTGATTGCCTCTAATTTCTGCCTAATTTAGTCTTTATTGGTGCAACCTACGCTCAATTTTACTTTTCAAATACACATTTCAGTATTAACCCCTGCTGAAAACAACAAATGAAACCAGCCTGTGGTGGTTGACTGGTTTTAGCTGGTGTTACAGCCCAGGTCATAGCTGATTTACAGTACCAGGCTGGTTTTAGACCACTTCTTTCGATGGTCAGGCTGAAAGACCAGCTGAAACCATAATATTTTGAGACACCCTTGTTTGAAATGAAAGAGATATGCACACTTATATAAGACAAACTCAATAGATAGCTTACGAAACAGTTATATAAAGCCCTGAAAGGCTCTTCCATCATCATAATCCCCTAAATCAGCCAGGCAGGTTCCTTTGTTTCTTAAAACCCTCTAGAGACAATTGTGTAAAGCGCATCTACAGTATTTCAGGTGATACCTGATCTGTAGTGATGTGCAGAATAGAGCAGTCATTTGTGTGTAGTCTTCACTCATACACGCCTGTCAAACCACAGCTCTTAAGCGTCATGTTGTATTGACAGGGACATCTTTCCTTTGCCCTGTGCACTCCTGGACGAGTGGGGAGGAGCTGGCTGGAGATATTCTACAGCATAGGTACACAAACTATCCTTATTATGTTCCATCTGTTGTTCCACTTTGCTCGGTTTCAGTCAGTGTAGGTGTTGTAATGTTACCATCTATTCATCACAAGGAGCTTTTTAATATGCTGTATGCCATGTCATTAGTGCATGGCTCTTTCTTTCGGGCATGTTGGGATATGTACAGTCTATAATGAGGCCTTCATTATCTCTGCCGTCTGTAATTTGCCTGAAATGAATAGTCTCATTAATTGGATCCGCAGGGGTGTGACGGAGGCCTGGAAGGGGTGTTCTGTTATCATGAAGGAGCACGGACAGTGGGCGGAGCTCGCAGGGCATGATTATGTAATGGACTTGATCGCAGACATGGAACTGATGAGAAATTTTCCCAAGCAAAAGTCCTACTTCATCATCTCCGCTGAGAGTCCCACCAGAACTAGGCCCAATGCCAGCCTGTCAGTATCTATATGATATGCTTGCATGCTTATTGTACTTCTGTTTACTTTAGAAATGGATTATGTATGCTAATTTGAGACATGATCATAAATATGAATTCTATTTTAATAGATCTGTTTTGCATGTAATTTAAAAGTGCATTAAATGTGAGTGTGTAATTTCTGTGGCATTAGTGGCTAACGACTAACAGTGCTTGAAAATGTTGTTTAGTGCCACTAGTTGCACAGAAATTACAAACTGCATGAAAAGTCAATATTTATATTATGAATATTTTAAATAATTTCTGTTAATGCTTTGCTAGCTGATTTGTCAGTCGTCTTGGACTTTATAATGACATCTAGTGGATGGCACTTCCTGCGAAAGCAAAGGTTTTTAGTTACAGATGCCACAGTAGAAATTCAAAGCAATGAGTGATTAATTCCCCTATTAAAGTTGTCCAATAACAGGGAGAATTTTGGGATACAGTAAATATTATTCATAGCTCAGCATCTTGTGGTCCTAATATACTGTCTGTGTGCTATCTTTAAAACAACCTGCTCCATGTAGAATTAAAAAGCTTTGTACTGTATATTCCTTTGATCTCATGTACATAATTTTGAATATTAAATATTTAACAAATCTTTCTTTTTCATTAACTTTTTTTATGAGCAAAAATCACTTTTTTTAAGTATAGTTATAGGCTAAGAATATGTTGTAAGTATAGTTATTTTCAGGGGAAATAGTTTTGCAGTGTTATTGTATTGTTTTCTAATATTTTGCCCTCAATATGAACTTTCACAGGGCTCTGTTTGGAAGCGGGTTTGATTCTGATGATGACAGTTCACTTCTGCTCCCCCAGACAATGCCACGCGCCAGTCTGCCAGATTCAGATGGATATTACAGCCACGGTCAGCTGTTTTTTTGGCTAGTTTTTAAGCTGCTTTTACATATTCTGTTCTGATTTCTCCCCCCCCCAATAACTGTAAAAAAATATATATAGAATCAGACTTCAGTGAAGCACCAACTCAGAAAGGCATGGACAGATATCTCGACAGCCTGTTTGACCCAGTTCTGTCTGATGGTAATGGGGTAAGTGTCTCTTGTTCATTTATGCCTAATTCAGATAAGTGTAAATATAATAAAAACAATATTATTTAGAAGATAAATGCAGCTATTTATGGAAAGAAGCTTAAAAATATAACACGAATGCATGAAGAAAACAATTGGCCATTTGATCCTCATAGTGTAAGTGATTGAGTGTATCAAATGTGCTCTGTGGGCGCCAGGTCCCCTGCACTGGGGGTGATTAAGTTGCCACTTTACCGTATTTCTCACAGCATTGAGCATATTTTATTTTTTATCTTTATTATTTTGGTGTTTATATATATATATATATATATATATAAACTTGGATTGAGGGCATTTGTAAAAAAATAAGCATGGGCATTTTTCAGTCATAAGGACTAGTTAGTTTAAAAATAATTATTTTTTGCTCACTTAAAGATCCTAGACTGGTAATGATAAACAAGACTCCTGTGGTCTAGGCAAGCATGGCTCGGTCTCAGTTGCGCTAGTAAATGGGCCATGCCCCTCTTAGAGAGTATAAGGTACTCCCATGGGGAGATTGATTTCTCGTATGACTGAGCTGGGAATGGTCCAGCCCGGAGTTGAGAGCCTGTTTTGCTTTGCCTTATCTCTTCTGCAGGATTTTGAGAAGTCATCCAGCATGTCCAGCCGTATGAAGGGAGCTGGTGGGATTGGAGGGCAGGATGGTGACAGAGAGAAGCCCCTCTCCAGCAGGCCTTATCCCCCCGGACTGCAGCCCGGCGGTGAGCTCTGCATCTGTTTTCTTTCTGCTCTCTCCTTACCACACATCAATTATGGATGGGTACCCTAGGGTCAATTGGTACCTGAAAGCAATCAATTGCCGGATAAACATTCAGACTTGCAAATTATTGTAAACCGCACATTTGCAAATGCTTTGCATGATAAATGATCAATGTACCATTTAGACTGATTTAATGCTTTGGTGATTTTAACTGACTGTGGCTTTTGGTGATTGGTGTTTCATGGGTCATTCTACAAAATGGGTGCCATTTGTGTTCCTTAAATATGTATGTGTAAAAAAAAAAAAACCTCTATAAATAGCTGATGGCAACTTTTGCTACATGTAAATTTTTCTAATCAAATTAACAAAAAATCCAGAAGCTTTATTTCTATGCTAAAATATATAAAAATTAAACATTAATACATAATTAGATGTAATCATATTTCATTTCTAAAATTATATTAAGATTACAAGGTATTTTGTTAGCTTAAGGTTTGTTTTGTTTGACTAATTCAACTGTAATATTGTCAATAGTGTTACTTTTCTGAAGACATAATTATGTCATATGTTTCCCATTTTTGTTACTTGAATCAAATGAATGTTAACTGAAATAAAATATAAAAACGTATTTCATTTCAGCAACATTTGTCATTGTTGCTTAGTTTAATTTGAAGTACTAAAAAAACTAAAACTTAAAATAAATAAAAATGACTAAAAATGATATAGGCATATGAAAAAACAAAAACTTATAAAAATGACATGACAAAAAAGCACAACAAAATGACTAAAATAGGAAATATAAATAATAAAATCTAATTCAAAATATTAACAATATTTATAATAGTATCATGCAGTGTCAGTGATACTTAACTATGTATATTGTTGAGAGTCTGTTTTGTGTGATTGTGTGTATACTGTATATATAAATTTGTGCAACTTAATTTAATTAGACCTGTTAAAACACCTTTTGAAATAGTAAAATAAAATACAGAGTATTTTTAGCACATCCATCCTGTTAATGAACAATGTTGCAAGGTGTTCAGTTCACTTTCAGCAATATTGTTCATATTTATTTTATATAGGGGTTGGCACAGCTAATTGGGCTTTGTCTGACCTCAAAACTTTATAGCCAAGCCAATCCTTGCATTAAATTGTTTGATTAAGACATGTTAAAGGGGTAATTGCTCACTGATCCTTAGCCATATTTACTGTCCTCAGCGGTGCCAGTTCTACCTGTTATGGGAGGAACAATGATGCCACCTATACCTATGGCAGCTATGTCTTCTGTGCCTCATGCACACGCCCCTACCGCCGTACCTTCAGTACCCCCAATGCCAGCTTTGCCTGCTATGCCACCTTTGCCAGCTGTGCCTAATGTGCCACCAATGCCTGATATGTCAGGTATGAATGCTGCATAAATGACGCTTTCCGCTGATTTATTCTCTGGGATCATTTGTGGAAGACAGCGCTGTTTATTTCTGTGTTCTAATCACAGCTATTAGAGTACATCTGCTTTATCTCTAAAGGTGTAGATCCAGCTGTCTTAGCACAGCAGCAGCAAGCCATCATCAACCAGCAAGCGATTATACTGGTGAGCATGACTTAAACTTGTAGTTAGCTACAGCTAAATGCGTTTGACTACTGAACTAATGTGATGTACCACAGGCTCAGCAGATGACAATGCAAGCCATGGCCCTCCAGCAGCAGATGTATAATTCAGTGCCAGCTCCCCGCTCCAGCCAGTACAGCCCCGTGAGTATCTCTGAGCACTGATTACAATATAGTTGATAAATTACTAGATATTAAGAGTACTCTTTGATTATATGTGACCCTGGAGCACAAAACCAGTCTTAAGTCGCAGGCGTATATTTGTAGCAATAGCCAAAAATACATTGTATGGGTCAAAATTATAGATTTTTCTTTTATGACAAAAATCATTAGGATATTAAGTAAAGATCATGTTCCATGAAGATATTTTGTAAATGTCCTACTGTAAATATATTAAAACTAAATTTTTGATTAGTAATATGCATTGCTAAGAACTTCATTTGGACAACTTTAAAGGCGATTTTCTCAATATTTTGATTTTTTTTGCTCCCTCAGATTCCAGATTTTCAAATAGTTGTATCTCAGCCAAATATTGTCCTATCCTAACAAACCATACATCAATTGAAAGCTTATTTATTGACCCTTGTGACTGGTTTTGTGGTCCAGGGTCACATATTATAATGGCATATACTATAGAAGTCATATTAGCACTAAATTCCCACATACACTACTGTTCAAAAGTTTGAGGTTGGTAAGATTTTGTATATTTTTTTAAAGAAGTCTGTTTTGGTCACCAAAGCTGGATTTATAAAATAAAAATTACTGTAAAACAGTAATATTGTGAACTAATATTGCAATTTAAATTATTTTCTATTTGATTATAGTTTAAAATGTAATTTATTTCTGTGATGCAAGCTGAATTTTCAGCATCATTACTCCAGTCTTCAATGTCACACGATCCTTCAGAAATCATTCTAATATACTGATTTGCTGCTCAAGAAACATTTCTTATTATTAACAATGTTGAAATCAGCTTAATATTTTTGCATAAACCAGGATACATTTATTTTCAGGATTCTGAGTAGAAAGTTAAAAAGAACAGCATTTATTTGAAATAAAATATTTCGTAATATTATAAACTTTTGGTCAGGTAATGCATTCTTGCTAAATAAAAGTATGAATTTCTTAAAAAAAAAAAAACTGACCACAAACTTTTGAACAGTAGTGATGAACAGTATGTCAATTCAAAAATCTGTTGTCATCATTTTTAATCATTACATGTCTTTTATTTGAAGATTAAACAAGAAACTGGACCTGTTTCCTACAAACCAACCCCAGCTTCTCCACCACAGAAATCTTCACAGCGACAGTACAGTATGTCATTACATCAGTCTATACACCTTCTTGCTTAATTTTACTCATTAAAATGACTATTTCATTAGTATGTTGATATGTTTCCAAAGGCCCAACTAGAAGGGATCCACCAGCGGGAGATGTGGTGCGAGCCACTGTCTCAAACTCTGAACATTTAGAGCCAAGTCACAACATCAAAGACATTATCAAGCAGTACCAGGCAAACCCTGTAAAACCAACAGAGATTGCCAGGTGAGAAATGAACATTTTTAGATCCAAAGGCCAGTTCCACATCTTTAATAATGAATGACCTGAACGGAAAACTGATACACAGCTAACCAATGTTCTCATTGACCTTGCAACAAAACATTGATAAAATATTAATCAAAAGAGATCTTTAAATTAGAACAGAACAAAGGCCAAAGCTCTAAATGTGCTGGAATTCAATGCAGGCGGGAAGCTAAAGTGTTTTTGAAGAAACCAGACCCCCATGATGAAGCTATTATGATTCTTAAGGACCAGATGAGTGCTCCACCTCCACAGGTAGATCACTTATAGATTGTTTACCGATAAACTGACAGTGTTAAAGTCATATGAGTTACAATTATGTAAAGTATTACCAGTATGCTTTAGTGTTACCATTGCGGGTAATGCTTAGTATGTTGGTATCCCACACAACCAGCGGAAGAAAACCTACACTCCAGTCTCTCCCTCATCATCTGCAAAGGAGTATGATTATGATGGTGGGGCACTGAAACCAGCAAAAAGCATCAAGATGCAGCGATCACCTCCTGTGCCAGCTGTTAGTCAGAGATTCCCGGCACCTGCACCTGGTAAACTCAGTTCATCTACAGTATGTCATTTAATTTCCGTTCGATGTAGAGGCCATATTAGCATGGCTATTGTGTTGCATTACAGTATCTAGAGAACTTCCAGTAGAAGAGGAGAATATTCAGACTCAGCTGCACAAGAGGAGCAGTGAAGAGCACTACACCTACACCAATGTACCATGGAAGATCTACTTGAGAAAAGAGGCCAGTGTCATTTGTGTTGTGATGGGTCAATGGACACAGTGCCTTTGCTCTAAATTATACGGAAGTGATTATGAAACATAACATTTGTGTCATCTGTTTTTAGGTTTTTTATCCAAAAGACAGCTTCAACCACCCGCTGATGTTAGACCTGTTGTTCAAGCAGGTTTGATATATATATATGTATTTTCAGTTCACTTTGGTATTAGGGCTGTCAATCAATAATGTTAATCTTGTCATTTTATAGTTAACTAACAATAAAACATTCAGTTCCTAAAAATTAAATAATAGGTCAATGTGTAACTTTGTTTTGATGGATGAAGTGTGCATGAAACGTGAGGCATAAATTTATGCAACAGTGCTCTTTACTTGTCTCACAACAATCAATAATACGTCAATAATTCAATAATAAATTATAAAATAACATTCCATAATAAAGTAACAAAGCCCACTTTATGGACATAATCTGTATAAAGAGATTTAACGTTGATATTTAACAGCCATAATTTAAGCGCGCTACTATTAAAAATATTGGGATCAGTAAGTTTTGTTTATGTTTTTGAAAGAAGTCTCTTATGCTCAGCAAGTCTTCATTGCTCAAAAATACACTAAAACAGTAATTTGTGAAATATTATTGCAATTTTAAATAACTGTTTTCTACTTTAATATATTTTAAAATGTAATTTATTCCTGTGATGGTAAAGCTGAATTTTCAGCATCAGTGTCACGTGATCCTTCAGAAATCTTTTGATATGTTGATTTGCTGCTTAAGAAACATTTCTGATTATTATCAATGTTGAAAACAGTTGTGCTGCTTAATATTTTTGTGGCAACATTTTAAAGGATTTGTTTGGATTAAAAGTAAAAAAAAATTATTTGCATTTATTTGAACTTTGACTTTACTGTCGATCAGTTTACTTGTTGAATAAAAGTATTAATTTCTTTCAGATTTATTTGACTGTAGTGTATGTAAAGCTATTTGTGTTGCTTTACTTTTATTGACCATAATTACAATGAAACTTTGATCTTAGATTGTCCATGACACATTCTCAGAGGCTTGCATTCGCATTACAACAGAAGAAAGGCAGAAGATGAAATGCCTTTTTGGTATGATTTATGTTAATTATCTTACATACACATTTGTCTCATGTAATATGTGAGCACTTCTTATTGAGAGGAACATTTTGTCTTCTGTATTGTGACAGTGGAGCACAACATTGGCATGAATGCCACAATCCAGGATGAGAATGTGAAGAAGAAGATTGTGGTTGCTGCAAGAGACACCTGGGAGATCTACTTCTCACGCCTCTTCCCAGCATCCGTAAGGAATCGCTCTCAGATAATCCTCGCTGAAAAAACCTGTGTAGACCAGTCCTGGTCCGAGCTGGTTTATGTTGGTCAGAGTTGGTTTAGTGGGTGGCCCAGCATAGCACACTGTTCACAAAATGTAAATAGTGAAATAACTAGTGAACATGTCTTGCATGTCAGCATCCAAAAACACATCATACTGTATTCTGATGTTTTAAGCAGGCATTTGCGGCATCATAATGCTATTTAAAACAAACCCAAGTCAAAATCTTCCTGAACAGGGCAGTGTTGGCACAGGAGTCCAGGTGCTGTCTGTATCTCATAGAGGGATCAAGCTTTTGAAAATGGTCAGGAGCAGTGCGGTAGCTCCAGACTACTTCAGAGTTCTGCGACCCTACAGGTACCAGAGACTTTTAATGTATGTATTTTACCCTCGTTTCTAATTAAATTGTATTTTTAATGACTTCAGTTAATGACACCGCCATCACGCCATGAATATTTTGAGTTGTGGATGTATTGTGATCATTGTTAACGTCTTACAGCTACACAGACATCATGTTCGTCACCATTCCTTCCAAAAACATGCTGGAGTTCAACCTCACCAATGAGAAACTGATTCTGTTCTCTGCCAAAGCTCCTCAGGTCAAAACCATGATTGACTACTTTATCACAGAGCTGAAAAAGGTCCGTTCTCACACACATTGGTTTGCTTCGGAGATGATGTGGTGCTGTGTGTTAATTATGCTTTCTCTCTCGCTCTAGGACTCAGACTATGTCGTTGCTGTGCGTAATTACATTACAGATGACAGAACGCTGCTGAGTTTCCACAAGGGAGACATCATACGCTTGCAGAAAATGGAAGGCCTAGATGCAGGTGAGACTGCTTTAAACCAGTCGTGAAGACCTGACATTACTCTTCACATTTGGGGGGAAAAGAGACTAAATGATTAGAACAGCAGCTCTGAAATATAACACTTGAAGACACACATGGGTCAATAATGTAATCTATTTATTTATTGAAAAAAAAAAAAACATTTGCTAGATAATTACATTAATTTTACTAGATAATTTTTTATCTTTTTCTTCCTAATTTAGAAATTTCTTACTTTTCATTGACTCACATACATACCTCCTGTTTCAATGTAATATAATATAATATAATATAATATAATATAATAATGTTTAAAAGTTTGAGTTCTGTAGTTTTTTTTTTTAATAAAGTCTCTTTTTAAATAATTAAAAAGTATTAAGTTTTCTATTTTTAATACGTTTTAAAATTAAATTTATTCCTGTGATGATGAAGCTGAATTTTCAGCATCATTACTCCGATCTTCAGTGTCACATGATCAGAAAACTTTCCAATATGCTGATTTGCTGCTCGTTATTATGAATGCTGCTTCTTAATATCAATCATTTCTTATTATTATCAATGTTGAAAACCGTTGTGCTGATTAATATTTTGTAACAATTGTGATTCAGATTTTATTCAGGATTCTTTGTTAAAAAGAAAATTTAAAAGAAAAGCATATATGTGAAATAGAATCCTTTTTAATGTCATACATGTCTTTACTCTTTACTGTCACTTTTGGTCAATTTTGGCCAATTGGATGTGTCCTTGCTGAATAAAAATATTAATTTCTTTACAAAAAAAAAAAAGGACCCCAAACTTTTGATCTGTAGTTTATTGATATAGACAAATAGTATACTGGGGATTCAAAATATGTTGTAACAGGTACAATAACTTGTTTCACAGGCCAGTGTTATGGTTTCATAGTGAAAAAGAAGGTGATTCTCCTGGAGGAATTAAAAAGAGACACACCTGATTTTGGTGGGTCGTGTGTGGACACTTGAATGGAGTGCTGTTTTGTGGTTTCTTCATGTGCTGTTTTTCTGTGCTGCACGTAGCAGTGTCATTGCAGTTGAATTGCTGGTGTGCAGACATATCTGAAATTCTGTATCCCTAGTTGCATGTATCGAACCTGTCTTCCTTCCCCAAGCATGATGGTTTCACTGCTGCTTTTTATACAGGCTCTTCAGTCTACTCTTAAAATGCCATGCTACTGTCACACACACTTTCACACACCATTTCTTGTATGGTACTAAGGCTGGAAGTTTGGGGCCATTCATGGGCGATCTGGGGTTTTTCCTGTGGAGTTTGTTCAGCCAGTGGCTGCTCCTGACTTCATTAACATTCCTGTGGACAAGAAAGAGGAACCCAAGAATAAGCAGGGTCGCGTGGCCGCCTCAGCAGCTGTGGCAGTGGCTGTAGGGTCTGCCGCCGCAGCCCATGAACTCGACCGGTCTATTGAGGTATATGTGTTTAACAGGCACATAATCTGAAATTCTGATTTACGTGTGCCATAGTCCCTTCTGAGTGCCGTTGTGTTGCTGCATCTTACCTCTAGGTGGCGTCTTCTGTCAGTGAGTATGCAGAGGCCTACGCAGACAGCGCTGATATGGATATCGATGAGAGAATCTTGCAAGACAGCCAATACAACATGGTGGAATTTGCAAAGAGATATTTCAGAGGGGCCCAGAGAAAAAATGGGTCAGTTGATTACATCATAAGGGAAACTGCGAGTTCATGTTCGCACAGTTACATAGTTGAATTAAAAGAAAATGTGTAATTGAAACATTGATATTGCTTATATTTTGCAGTGATTCATATAAGAAAAAGTCAAAGAAAACAAAGGAATCCAGGGAACCATCAGAAATGGTGAAATTTTCCAAGGTATAGAATGCGTACCATACCATCACTTTTAAATATGTTAAAAAAATAGTTGATTTGAAATCAATATTCTGCCATTCTTTACTCAATATTCTATTATAAGGAATGGAGCTGGGGGTTTTAATCTTTAAAAAGGACACAAAACGACCATAAAAGTGGTCTATACATCTTGTGCACTATATTGCAAGTCTACTGAAGTCATATGACAGCTTTGTGTGAGAAACAAATGGAATGTTAGGTTGTTATTCACAAAATTGAATAATTCAGTGGAAAAGAACCATCTCAAAGAATGAGTAATTTAGGAATTGTACATTGGAGATTTAGGGTGAATATAATGTTTTTTTCTTTCAGTGAATAATGACTTAAATATTGAACTGATGTCTTATAGATCAGTGTGGTATCAGAAATATTTTAACACCTTTTATATTATTATTATTATTATTATTATTATTACTATTAAAAAAAGATTTGTTTGGAATTACATGAGGGTGAGTAAATGATGACAAAATTTAAATTTTTTGATGAACTGTTCCTGTAAGTTTAAAGAAAATCAAGCAAGACCTCTCAAAAATTTCCATATTTCTGATGCATATTCTGATTGATTTTTGCTTTGGTTATGTAGTCTCCAATTCAAGAGTCCCTAATCGAGTTCACTGATGAAAACATGAACAAAGTAGCTGCAGAGATTTTTCTTGGTAAGCAGAATGTTCAATGTGAACTAATTAAGAGATAAATTTTTTACTGTCATCTATAAAAATGTTGTGTTTACTATGTAATACAACTTCAATCATTCTTATCTTGCAGCTATTATGAAGTTTATGGGAGACTACCCTATGAAAAGCCAGACGGAGCAGGAGGTTGTGAGCACCTTCCTAAGGGTACGCAGCTCTTCAAATAGCGCAACAAGAATTCCCATCATGAATTATTAAGATAACCAGACAGGAATGTGCTAAATGTCTTTAATGCCACTGCAATATGCAATATGAATAATCTCTTTTGCAGCTGAGTGGCGAGTATGGACTACTGAGAGATGAAGCGTACTGCCAAGTCCTCAAGCAGATCACAGTGAACACCAGCTCCAAGACGTATGAGTCTGCTTCCTTCTGAATGATGAAACCATGGAGGCTTAATTTTAATGTGCCAGACAGAGTCATAGATGATCTTTTCTGTATTTCACAGGGAGAGTTGTCAGAGAGGCTGGAGGCTGCTGTACATCCTCACTGCATACTACAAGTGTTCAGAGGCGCTCAAACCTTACCTGCTGAAGTACCTCCTAGACGTCTGTGCAAGTCCAGGGGTGCACTTTCAAGGTATACTGCTGCTTTAGCTACATGTTACAGCTACACAGATAAAATACTGACTGATGATTACACGAACATGATATATTGACAGGTATTTCCAAGGCTTGTGAGCAGAACCTAAGGAAGACGTTCCAGTATGGTGGACGTGTTGAACATCCTGATGGGATGGAATTGAAAGCTATGCTGGTTAGTTGCACATAAACAAATTTTAATGCTAATTTTAGTGACATTTTCAGCGATTTCTGCTTAAACATGCACAATCCAACGTTTTCAAGGCTGGAAGGAGCTCCAAACGCCAGTTGTTTCTTCTTCCTGGTGGAATTGAACGCCATCTAAAGATCAAAACCTGCTCAGTATGTTGACTCTGTGATATTTAATGCAACTTGATCAACCATGTAATTCATTTAATTGGAACAATGTGGTTCTAATTTTTTTTTTGGTACTTTGAAGGTGGCTTTGGATGCCATTGAAGAGCTGTGCTATGTGATGGGTCTGCATAAACTTGAAGCCTTGGATGAATATGCTATATTTGTGGTCACAAACAGAGGTGAGATGACAAAAAGGAAAACACATAATCAAAATCTAATATCAGATTTGTAGTAGCTGATATGGTAGTTCACTTATCTTAGGAAATGAAAGGGGTCATTTTAACTTAAGGAATAGTTCACCTAAAGATGAAAATTTACTCACCCTCAGGTCGTCCAAGATGTAGATTAATTTCTGAGAAATTTAGCATTACATCACTTGCTCACCAATGGATGCACTGTAGTGAATGGGTGCCGTCAGAATGAGAGTCCAAACAGCTGATAAAAACACCACAATAATCCACAAGTAATTCACGTGACTCCATCAATGAATGTCTTGTGAAATGAAAAGTTTTTATCAACTGTTTGGACTCTCATTCTGACGGCACCCATTCACTACAGTGCATCCATTGGTGAGCAAGTGATAGAATGTTACATTTCTCAAAATCTGTTCTGACAAAGAAACAAACTCAGCTACATGTTGAATGCCCTGGGGGTGAGTACATTTTCAGCAAATTGTCATTTGTGGGTGAACTCTTCCTCTAAGATGATAAAAGTGTTACAAAGATTGAAAGCTGTATTCTCATGTGTTGTCAATTTTTCTCCAGGTCAGAATGTCCGCCCTCTAAACAAAAGGGAGTACATCCTGGATGTTGCTACAGAAGCTGAACATGTTGATAGCAACTACAGTCTGTGGTTTCGAAGAGTGATCTGGACGCAGCCACTGAAGTTTGACAATGAGCTCGGAGTCACTATGCATTACGATCAGGTACATCAGCCAGACTGATTCAATTTCCCAGACGTTCCTTTCATGTTTTGTGCTGCTTATTGCGCAAGTTACAAAGATCTGAGGCATTTGTTCGCGATTTGATCTAAGTTTTCTCTGTTCAGGCTACTAATCTGATCTTCATTCACATTTTACAGGTGTCCCCTGACTACTTGAAAGGGCTGCTCAATGCTGTCCCACAGGGTAAAGCCAGTGAGCAGCAGCTTCAGCAAGTGTCAAAACTGGCAGCTCTGCAACATCGTGCCAAGGACTCGATCTACCTGCCCACCTTGTAATGCAATTAATCTGACTGACACCATATCCTGAATTTATCAACCAGAGAAAGAACTGACTTATGTATCAATGAAAAGCTTTAAAAAGGGTCACATTTACCCCACTGAACCAAATTACCATTGCACTTCATTTGTGTGAATAGATTACTATAATTTTTAACCCTTATACACATTGAAATTATTATAATATACCTTTCAAAAGTTTGGGGTCTGTAAGATTATTTTATTCATCAAGGATGCATTAAATTGATCAAAAGTGAAAGTAAAGACATTTAATAATGTTACAAAAGATTTTTGTTTCAAATAAATACTGGTCTTTTTATTTTTCTGTTTATCATATAAAAAAGTGGCATCCTCAAAAATATTAATATTAAACAGGACAACAGTTTTCAACATTGATAATAATGAGAAATGTTTCTTATGCACCAAATCAGCATACTAGAATGATTTCGGAAGCATCACGTGACACTGAAGACTGGAGTAATGATGCTGAAAATTCAGCTTTAACATCTCAGGAATAAATTGCATTTTAACATATATTATTTAAAACAGACGGCAGTCATTTTACATTGTGAAAATATTCTACAATATTATATTATTAATGTATTTTTGATCAAATAAATGCAGCCTTGGTGGGTATAAGAGACTTCTTTCAAAAACCCAGAACTTTGAACTGTAGTTTGAGATATACATCAAGCTTGGTTGCCATCATTCTGGTCTCTTAATGAGACCGCTAATTGCCTGCTCTTCAAGCAGAAACTTGCAGGGAAATACAATCCCAGGGATCATTACTAGGTATGAGGGAGAAATGAGTCACTTTGAATAGATCTGTCCACATGTTAATTACTGTGCCAGTAATTGTATATAGTTCAAATTCACAGTTATAAAAACACAGTGTTGTGCTTGTAATTGTTCAGTTGGCCCCTGATGGAGAACAGCACCTGGCTGATGTCCCTCAGCTAATATAAGTTACCTCTTCTATAGACTAACGTTCGCTTGTTCTCTGCCATCAGCCATGAGGTTCAGGAGTATATCCCCACCCAGCTCTTCGGTCTCCAGCGGCACCAGCAATGGTTAAACATGGTGACCCAGCACATGCAGCAGGTGCAGCCCCTCACTCCTCATCAGGCCAAAGCACAATTTCTGGGTGAGGTGTTGACTTGGGAGAACAGCCAGTGTGAAGGCGCACTGCCTTTTATTCCAAACACTGATTGTTGTGCTTGTGTCTCTGTTTCAGGGCTCGTGAGTGCTTTTGCCATGTTTGGCTCATCATTCTTCTACATACAGAGCAGCAGTAATAGTGCTATCGACACCCCATGCATACTGGCTGTCAATCAAAATGGTCTGAACTTTCTAAGAAAAGATACTCATGTAAGTTTAACCCCTTTATATCCAATGCTTACTAAAAGCCTACAGTATGTAAAAATAACCTCAGGACTTTTTGGCCGTGGTTTTTAGGCTGTATTTCTAAAACTACAGCATATTTTTAAATAAGAGCTGACCTAAAAATTACAATTCTGTCACAATTTAGAAAGCCATATGTTTGAAATGACTTGAGGGTGAGTAAATAAGTCTCTTCTGCTCATCAAGGCTGCATTTATTTGATAACAAATACAGCAAGAACAGTAATATTGTGAAATGTTAAATGCAGCCATTACTCCAGTCTTCAATGTCACATGATCCTTCAGATGTCATTTTAATATGCTGATTTGCTGCCTAAGAAACATTTCTTATTATTATCTACATTATTATTATTTGTTTGTGCGAGATACAGACTTGAATGACGAGGTTAGAAGTTTTTTTGTTGTTTAATTTATACAAACAAAAGTATGCAATGATTCAGTGATTAAATATGTAATCTGCTTTGACACTGCTAAAGTGTCCATTTTACTGTATATTTGCAAAGATTTGCAAATTTATCTGCATTTCCTCCCATGATATTTTATAACGGTCTCATATAGACGTCACAGCTGTTTTCAATGTTCTTCAGGAGCCGATGGTGAAGTTTCCGCTGAAGGAGGTCCAGTCCACCCGTACACAGAGGCCCACAGCTGGCTCCAGTTACCCGTATGTGGAGATAATGCTGGGTGACCTAATGTCTCAACGCATTACACAGTTACAGCTGGACCAGGTATGGACTTTGGAATATATGATTGCAAATCATCATGTAATCTAATCGCGCAATATCTGCTCATTTTAATGCCCTTTTAAGGTGTGTTGTTAATCTGAGTTGGTCATTTTCACTGGGCCTGTGTGGGCGGAGCTTATTCCTGTGCGTTTGGCTTTACAGAGTCTTGAGCTGTGCCGTGTTATCGCCATGCATATGGAGAACCTGCTGTCAGTACGAGAGAAGAGACTTACTCTGCCGCCCAGTGAAATCACTCTGCTCTAGCACCCCTTCTCACAGATGATATTTATTATTACTTTTATGGCAATAATTGCAATCAGACACTATTAAACTCCTTCACGTCGAAAGCCAGCTGTCATTATTGATAGTGCAATATGCCTGTTTGCAATTTCAAAACCAAGTTCCAGGATTAGCTTGTTATGCACAATAATTTGCATGTATTCCATTAGGTTGAACATATGGGCCTATAATTTCAAACGGTATAGTACTACATCTAGTTCTGGACACGTGATCAGCAAGACTTTATTTTTGTATGAGAGAGAGGGAAACACTTTTTTAGCCACTAGTTTTGAAGTTCCTCTCTTAAATACTGATTTGCACTACTTGAGACTATTGTATGTTTTAAATATTTATATATTGTTTGCATTTATGTGTCATGTGGATGTGAATGGGAAATGAACTATATGCACAATGAATGTAGGTTTAATATGAAGTCTTTATTCTAAATAAAAAAAAGAAAATCACAATTGACCTGTGTTTTCCCCAAATGTGTATTACTTATTTACAGTAGATGCACAATTTGAGGAATCATACATTGAATAATATATTTTAAAAAGCAGCATTATTATTATTAAATAAAGCAAAAACTATTAAACACATTTTTGTTAATTGAAATAAAGCTTAAATAAATTACAATTCAATATGCAATAAAATACAGTAAATAATAAAATAAAAATATATAAATATTACATGTAAAACTAAAACATTTCAAATGTCACCTGGAATACGTTTAGGCTGAAACACTAAAATTACTAGCTGGTAATAAATAAAAGCAACATAAAAATATTCAAAAATGAAATAAAACTAAAACTCATAAAAAAAATTATTTAAACAGAGTAAGATTTAAAATAAATAATAATAAATGACAAAACACATATCATTAAAAATTAAACTAAAATTAAAAGGAAATGTAAAAATAAAAGTTAATTAAAAATTGTAATAAAAACTTTAATTGTATGTAAATAATACTAAAAGAACATGATTTGATTGGCTGGTTTCTCCATGCAATGAAATTGAATTGCTGCCAGGCAATGATCAAACGTGTGAGTAAGTAAAGCTAATCCAGCAGAATCCTGATCCGCGTTTTCCACACGCACGCTGGCGGTGGGCGTGGTTTGGTGAATTGGTCACAGATTCTTGCATTCTGATTGGCTCTCCCAAGACGTGGTTCCTGTGAACTTGCCCCTGTGGTCAAACTGCAGAAACACAGAGCTAAAAACTTGCACGGCTTGAGGAGTGGATACAACAGAAACTGGAGCTTGCATGAAGGATCACATTGTTTCTCTGCACCGATTCACGCCTAACGGAATTGATATCAATCTGAGACGGCGCGGGCTGTGATATTTCTCTGATTCGGCTTCAGGATGATGAAGTTTAGGTTCAGACGGCAGGGAAACGACCCTCATCGTGAGAAAATCAAACAGGATCTGTTTGCATTCAATAAGGTATGTGGGATATATAGCGCTGGGTCTCTCTCTCTCTCGAGCATGCATGCGGTTTCGGGTTTCATTGAAATAGACTAAAATAACATTTAATTCAAGCAAATGTATTCACACATGACTTATTGTGAACGTGTACTATTTCATTTACTTTCTCTGTATTAACATGCATTTGCTAATATGGCAATGGTTTACAACTATCATGGTCAGATATGATAATATATGTGCATGAAAGTTGTTTGAAACAGTAGCTTTTCTTTTTGTTAGTGCACAGTTGGACTTTTATGGCTTCAAGAGAATGAGAAATGTGTTGTGTTTGCGTGTAATATTCATCTTCATCAATGGAGCTCATTAAATCAGATCGAGCGTGTTGTCTATTGTGAGTGACCTCAAAGTTTTCTCATGTTTGTAACTTTAACCGTTACAAACGACTGATAATCGACTGACTAATATAGGGTTAGGGTAGTTGGGGTTAGTTATATATTACTGACTAATATATATATATATATATATATATATGCATACATATGTAGTTTATCATTTATTGTTATTTTAGTATTTTTACTAAAAGCGCAATTTATTTAGCTCAGTGAGTGTTTTATTTAGTTGAAAATAAATGTTTGTTTATTTATGTTTGTTGTTGAGCCTTGAATGTATCCTGCAGTGGTGCTGGCAGTTGCAGAGCGATTGTGAGGATTTGTAGAGCTCTTAAATCATAATGAACATGTTACTGCTCTCCTGCCAAAAACATAGAAAGTGTTTGATTGTTGGCTCTTTACTGATGACCCAACTCTGGCGCCATTACAGCACAATCAAACATTTCTTCCCTCCTCCTCAGTGTAAAGCAAAACAGGAGGAAATGAGAGATCTCATATTATGCATGTTTTTAGAGTAGCCTATTAAAGTCCCCACTTTTGTTCATTTCTCAAATGCTGCTGATGACATTTATCCACAGATGGTTTAGGAAAAACAGAGCGGTGGTGCCATGCTGATGAAGCGTCATGACACTGTGTGTAATGTTACAGGAAGGCCCTGTTATTTATCATGTCACATTTTGTCAACCTGTGAAAAGAGAAATGCATCATTCGGCCAACTTCAAGCCTGGTTTTGCTTAAATTTGTCTGTTGATTTAAGGGGACATTTTTAAAATTACCCAAAAACCTGTTTCTGCAAATCACTTTTGATAGCTTGTGAAGATGAATTTGACATTGTCTGTCAAATCTACTAGAGTTCCTTCCTTGCTATTTTTGGTTCTGCGTTATGTTTTTTTTGTTGTTGTTGTAAAAACAAGGAAATCCCCTTCCTGACAAGACAGCACTGAATAGATCTACTGCATTGTTAATTGTAGCATCAGGGCTCATTAGAGGTCAATGAAGTATGAATTGGTTTCTTTTTTTTAAGCTCAGCCGAAAAAGCGGGATTTCAAAAGTCTATATGATGTACATGACATGCGAGTTTAAGTTCTGAATGTGTGATTTCCTCTTCTCTTTTTTTACTCAGACTGTTGAACATGGATTCCCAAACCAGCCAAGTGCTTTGGCCTATGATCCCAAACTGCAGCTTATGGCCATTGGAACTAAATCAGGGGCCATCAAAATGTATCCTTTTGTGAGTGCTTTCCTCAAATAAAGTGGATGTAGTTTAATTGTTTTGTTAATATACACTACTGTTTAAATGTTTGGGGTCAGTAAAAGTCACAGTAAATATGTTTACATTGTTACAAAAAAAGTTGATTTCAAATAATTGCTGTGCAGAATTCTCTATTTATCATTAGCTAAATAATCTTACTGACCCCAAACACTTGAACTGGAGTCTATATCTACTCAAAAGTTTGTACACACCTTCTCAGTTGTTTATCTTCCCCATTCAAATAATAAATTAAACATTTAAATCAAACAAAAATTAAGATAAATCAAAATTATTTATTTATTTTAATAATGATTTTGTAAGTATAGACACTGTTTGTGTAGATTACAGTGAGTCTCTCAATTGGCTTCGTGAGCTGCATCTATGATTCTTAAGTATTCAGTCCAAATAATCTATTAAAACAAGTTTTTAAAGAAATTCATATATAGGTGCAATTTGTACTTGTCTGTATAATAGTGTGTCCAAACTTTTGTGAGAAACATTGACATTTTACATTAACACCAGCGTCTTCAGCTTTATAAAATTAAACACTTTACATCCTTGCTGATACTTCTCCAAACTCTTAGAGCATTTCATAAAATGTTGAGAAAGATTTGGTCAATTTTATCTAGATCAATAATACAATGAATGCAGTGAGTGAATGTCCTAGTTTATGGTTCACTGATTGTGATTAATTACTCTGGATGTATGGCTCTGCTGTGCTGAAGACATGAGTCATTTGCCGTTGTACACAATGTGACTCATTACATGTTATGCTGGTCCTCTAAAACTTGCTACTTTGAAAACAAACTTTCCTAAATTGTCATAATTATAGTCGACACTGTCCAGGCCTGAATCTTTGAGTCTGTAGTGGGTAGAAGGAATGTTTAGGAGGATACTATCAGAATAAAGTGTAGGAGACTCCTCTGGTGAGCTGTTATTATCTAGTTCTTCTGAACCGGACAGGTCAGACAGGCCAAGTATCATGGAATACATCCAACATTCTTCCACAGCCACGCTTGCTTTTTTTTTTCCTGTGATGGAAGCTGAGATACGGGCAGGATCAGTGATATTATAGTGATTGTGGTGGTACAGTACAGGTCTTTGAGCTTTAGGAGGCTGGTAGTGTCAGGCACAGCCCAGCTGAGAGACGCTCAGCCTGCAGCCTTGAGAGGGGTGGGGAGCACTAGCTGTGGGACGGCCTGATCCGACAACCTGCCACTCACCAGATCTGAGCGAATATCTGTCAGCACTTAGAAACTAATGCCTCATCCATCAGACAAGAAAACTCATGATGGAGAGAGGACAGGGACTGGTCGGTGTTCTGAGGTTGAGTAATGAGAGGTTTGGCTTTGAAAGCATTTCCTCTGATTGGGTGTTGGAGGGGGTGTGATGAGAGATCAAAGTTTGGTTTACCCAGTCTGACTCTCATCCTTTTTAAAACTGGATGTCTTTGAATAACATTTGGGAATATAATAATAGTTTAGTGTTGGTGAATTTCTCTCTTCTGTCATCAAGAGTTATCTTTAGGGCCTTTCGCACCGCTTTAGTTCCAGAACTAAATGTACAGTACTAAAGTACTGGGACGATTTACCCTGCTCCGGAGTAGGAGCTAATGTGGTTCTCGGAAAAAGGCAGTCCGGTACTAAAATCGCACCCAGTTCCGGTGGTGCGAAAACGCCAAAAAGTGGGTAGTTCCACAATTAGTTCTGGTACTATGAAAAGGTTCCCGCGGTGCGAAAGGCCCTACTGAGAGACTTTTAAGTTCTGTTCAGACGTTTCCTCATTATTTTTTAACAAGGAAAGCTAAATGACTTGGTGTCACGCTAGCTTGTTTTGAGAAAAAATCTGCGGAATGCATTTAAACATGGTACAATTATGCTAAAGCATAATCAAATTTGCCAAAATATTTAATAATCCAAGAGATCCCAGAGCTTTTTATTTTAGGACCCTTAAAATGACCTGCTGAAAATGTTTTACAGTGAAATATGAGGGGGAAAACTAAAGTTAGTTAAACGTAAGTTCACTTTTTTTTTAAACGCAAGTTCATTTTTAAAAATTTTTCCTTTCATAAGGCTTTAAGTAATCTATGAAAATAAGGATAAACCTGAAGACATGACTTTAAGCTATACAGATAAAGAGAAAATATATTTTTTCTTTCTTGATGCCGCTGCAAGAGCAGCTTTATGGCTATATTAAACTAATAAATCATTGACACGGAACTTGCACATTAGTAAGTGAGTCATATGTTGGTCCAGTAGCTGGATTTAGTGAGTTCATTCAAATAAGGATTTGTAAGACTGATTCGAAACAGTAACTCTTTTTGAACGCTTTATTAAAGTTGCGATAGATCTGCGGCGCATTAAAGCCTGTGTTACGGCCACCGGAGCTGATCGCGGCTGGACTGGTGTTTATACCAGCCGCGCCGCGGCCCAGAACTCATGCTTATCACATCGGTCACTTCACATCGCACGGCGCGTGTCCGGTGTATGTTGTCTACTCTGGGCTTTCACATTGAGCAGCATTAACTACACAGGGCCGTTGTTCACTGACGAGCTGCGCAAAACCACGTTCATATTCGCGCGATTTTTTGCACAGCTCGTCAGTGAACAACGGCCCTGTGTAGTTAATGCTGCTCAATATGGTGTAATTGCTACATTTTCGTGTCAATCCATGTTTATATTTACTGAAAAAATGCGCCGTTACTTTAATTTAGCGCTTGCAGTGCAGCAGTAGACTCGGTGCGGAAACGATATCTGCACTGCTGCAGACGCGCTGCCGGACCGCAACCGTGTGCAGTGAACACTTTAATCCGTTAACATGAGCGCGGAAAAAATACGCACCACATACGCACTGCAAACTGGCGTTATGTGTGTGCACTGCGAGTGTGCATGAGCGCACGGTCTCCAGGAGAGAGCGCGTGAGCGCTGAATGGTTAAACACTGGCAAGAATTAAAAAGTGATACAATTTATAAACTTTAGTGATGATGTGACACTGCCTCGATTGTGCAAGTGACAATTCCTGTGTCAACTGTGCAGCTCGCTTATAGACAGACGTGATGTGAAGCCATTTGCGTATTTTGAGAGAGTGCGCGCGTTGATTCACTCACGCTGTTTGTGAAGTTACGTCTCACACAAGGTTTTCAAATGACTTTATAAGTTATTTAATGAAGAAATATAGCATTATAATTATTTCACCCGCGTCGGACAGAGACTGAGACGGTGCCGCTACATGTCGTGCCAAACCTCTCACGGCAGCGTCATCAGCTTAAGATAAGTTTTTTGAGATCGGCCTTTTTAGAGACCGCCGATCAATCATCCCAACGTGATTATCGGCCGATAGTGATCGGTAGCCGATCAATCAGAGCACCCCTAGTGTTATTATTGTTAAATTTATCAGTTAAAATATAAATATGCAAAAAATAAATGTTTATGTATATATATTCTGTTTATGTAGGCTGTATACTGTGTTCTATATAGAGTACCAGTCAAAAGTTTGGACACACGAATGGGAAGTGTGTCCAAACTTTTGACTATACTGTACTATAATATAGCCTACACATAAAGAATACTGGCCGATATATCGGTATCTGTCTTTTTTACTCCCTAATATCGGTATCGGCATCGGCCCCCAAAAAACCCATATCGGTCGGGCTCTAGTTTGCACATCAAAGGCTAGATTGCTGTGATGTGCATAGCTCTACAGCCCCGGTCATCTCGATGTCAGATGCCAGAACGGCCAAGTCTGAGGTGCGTCTGATCAAGGGTGCTGTCATCAGAGCTTGTCCAGCTCATTCTGTCCAAAGCCATTAACAGAAGCTCTGGATTCATTTATTCTGTGACAAAGCCATTAACTGTACCGTTAAAGTACCTGAAGCTGAGGTGTGTACTTGTTTTTCAATGATAAAATTGTTTCTCCTATTGTATTTTAAGGTCCAGATAGATATTAGCAAGCCATTTGTAGGCAAACATTCCTGTTTAACTAAATAATGGAAATCAGGGTAGGTTATGAAAATTAAGTATTTTTATTTTAAGTATTTATCCAGCCATTTTTATGAGCGTATATATCAATTTTTAAAAATATTTGCTGACCTTGTGAAAGCTTGCATCTAAAGATGTTTACAGTTGCCTTTTGTTTCTTGGCCTCAGTTTAGTGAGCATTCGATGTAATAGGAGCCTGTCTGATCATAAATGTGTCTCCGCTGCCACCACAAATTGAGGCGCAGGGGTGGGTATTATATTTTAAAGCTAAAGGGGAGGACAGACGAGGGGGTTTTAGCAAGGCGAAGTGGAAAGTAATGAGACTGCTGGGACAGAGGAGCTGTTGGAAGTGCCGGGTTCACTCCTAAAGAATGCATGTGGCTGTGCCCTAAGTTCACCCTCTGCTGTAAGAGGACATTCCTCTGCACTTTTGTTGCTGGTCCTCATCTCAAAGACGTCTTTTGAAATGGTTTCCCGGGCCACCGCTGGAGCAGGCTTGTAATCAGGATGTGCTTCAGATTTTAGTAGCAACAGCTTTCGTGATTGACAGTGTCTGGCAGGCTGAGCCATGTAACTGTCAGAAATGCTGCTTGTGTTGTCGGTTGTGGCTGGGCTGAAATGAGGTGCGGTCCTCAAAATGAATTTCTGTCATTACTATGGCATCCCCCTCATTTGTTCAGTGCACATTAGAGCTCATTAACCTAATCTAACCGGCGCCATTTATACTCCAATATCACAATTGATATGCATAATCATCGGCTGCAACAAAAAGAGGTCAAGTGTAAAGCATTTGTTGGTATCATATACACAAGATGGAAAGCGAAAATCCTAAGTAGTGATGTCCAAGTTGTTTCTTTTTTTGTTGGCCAGGTAATGAAAGTAATTGTGTAAACCGCTCTCTAAAACTCAATAGTATCAGTGTAATTTACAATTTAAATTGTAATTTAAAATGTGCTGATCCACATCAATAGATGGCAGTGCAGCGTCTAAC